CAGTATTTTTGACTTCTCCTGTATATATTTCTAATTGTAAAAGGAGAAATTTTCGTTTTTCCTTTTGGGCCACCCCACCTCGGTGGGATACGACCGGTGTGTTGAAAGAAAGAAAGAAAGATATATATCTTTCTTTCTTTCAACACACCAGCCGTATCCCACCAAGGCGGGGTGGCCCAAAAGGAAAAACGAAAGTTTCTCCTTTTACATTTAGTAATATATACAGGAGAAGAGGTTACTAGCCCCTTGCCCTCGGCATTTTAGTCACCTCTTACAACACACATGGCTTAAGGAGGAAGAATTCTGTTCCACTTCCCCGTGGAGATAAGAGGAAATAAACAAGAATAAGAACTAGAAGGAAAATAGAAGAAAACCCAGAGGGGTGTGTATATATGTGCTTGTACATGTATGTGTAGTATGACCTAAGTGTAAGTAGAAGTAGCAAGACATACCCGAAATCTTGCATGTTCATGAGACAGAAAAAAAGGACACCAGCAATCCTACCATCATGTAAAACAATTACAGGCTTTCGTTTTACATTCACTTGGCAGGACGGTAGTACCTCCCTGGGCGGTTGCTGTCTACCAACCTACTACCTATATATACATATTCTTTCTTTCTTTCAACACACCAGCCGTATCCCACCGAGGTGGGGTGGCCCAAAAGGAAAAACGAAAGTTTCTCCTTTTACATTTACTAATATATACAGGAGAAGAGGTTACTAGCCCCTTGCTCCCGACATTTTAGTTGCCTCTTACAACACGCATGGCTTACAGAGGACAAATTCTGTTCCACTTCCCCATGGAGGTAAGAGGAAATAAACAAGAAGAAGAACTAGTAAGAAAAATGGAAGAAAACCCAGAGGGGTGTGTATATACATATATGCTTGTACATGTATGTGTAGTGTGACCTAAGTGTAAGTAGAAGTAGCAAGATGTACCTGAAACCTTGCATGTTTATGAGACAGAAAAATGGACACCAGCAATCCTACCATCATGTAAAACATTTACAGGTTTCCGTTTTACACTCACTTGGCAGGACGGTAGTACCTCCCTGGGCAGTTGCTGTCTACCAACCTACTACCTAGGATATATATATTTATTTATTTTATTATCACACTGGCCGATTCCCACCAAGGCAGGGTGGCCCGAAAAAGAAAAACTTTCACCATCATTCACTCCATCACTGTCTTGCCAGAAGGGTGCTTTACACTACAGTTTTTAAACTGCAACATTAACACCCCTCCTTCAGAGTGCAGCCACTGTACTTCCCATCTCCAGGACTCAAGTCCGGCCTGCCGGTTTCCCTGAACCCCTTCATAAATGTTACTTTGCTCACACTCCAACAGCACGTCAAGTATTAAAAACCATTTGTCTCCATTCACTCCTACCAAACACGCTCACGCATGCCTGCTGGAAGTCCAAGCCCCTCGCACACAAAACCTCCTTTACCCCCTCCCTCCAACCTTTCCTAGGCCGACCCCTACCCCGCCTTCCTTCCACTACAAACTGATACACTCTTGAAGTCACTCTGTTTCGCTCCATTCTCTCTACATGTCCGAACCACCTCAACAACCCTTCCTCAGCCCTCTGGACAACAGTTTTGGTAATCCCGCACCTCCTCCTAACTTCCAAACTACGAATTCTCTGCATTATATTCACACCACACATTGCCCTCAGACATGACATCTCCACTGCCTCCAGCCTTCTCCTCGCTGCAACATTCATCACCCATGCTTCACACCCATATAAGAGCATTGGTAAAACTATACTCTCATACATTCCCCTCTTTGCCTCCAAGGACAAAGTTCTTTGTCTCCACAGACTCCTAAGTGCACCACTCACCCTTTTCCCCTCATCAATTCTATGATTCACCTCATCTTTCATAGACCCATCCGTTGATACGTCCAGTCCCAAATATCTGAATACATTCACCTCCTCCATACTCTCTCCCTCCAATCTGATATCCAATCTTTCATCACCTAATCTTTTTGTTATCCTCATAACCTTACTCTTTCCTGTATTCACTTTTAATTTTCTTCTTTTGCACACCCTACCAAATTCATCCACCAATCTCTGCAACTTCTCTTCAGAATCTCCCAAGAGCAGTGTCATCAGCAAAGAGCAACTGTGACAACTCCCACTTTATGTGTGATTCTTTATCTTTTAACTCCACGCCTCTTGCCAAGACCCTCGCATTTACTTCTTTTACAACCCCATGTATAAATATATTAAACAACCACGGTGACATCACACATCCTTGTCTAAGGCCTACTTTTACTGGGAAATAATTTCCCTCTTTCCTACATACTCTAACTTGAGCCTCACTATCCTCGTAAAAACTCTTCACTGCTTTCAGTAACCTACCTCCTACACCATACACCTGCAACATCTGCCACATTGCCCCCCTATCCACCCTGTCATACGCCTTTGCCAAATCCATAAATGCCACAAAGACCTCTTTAGCCTTATCTAAATACTGTTCACTTACATGTTTCACTGTAAACATATATATATTATAAAACAACAGTAATAAAAAATTTTTTGTATTGTTTGTGTAAACAAGTTTTGTAAACAATATATTGATAATTATGTTTGTGTGCTTATTGTGTTGTATACAACAAGTGTATATATGTACATTGCACCATACTTTGGACTCATAGGCCACATAAGTTATGTGAAAAATAAAATAATAAAAAAACAAAAAACCTTCGAATACAAGTAAACCAAAGTTTACCGGGTGAGTGGCAGTTGCCGCTGTTGCCATACACGACTTATTTTTTGCCAACTTCATGCCTCTATATCTCGGTAAGTACTGATGGCAAAAAAAAAATTTTTTGGACTAAAACAATCAGAAAAATAATCTTAACATTTTCGTAAGAAAAAATATTTTTTTTTTTTTTTAATATTTTTCGACACCAGGAGAACCTGCAGGATTTGGGGTTTTGACAGTCAAGGGGTTAAACTTAATTTTTAAGACAGAAAATAAGGAATAATATAATCATTTATGACCTTATATCTGATTATGACACGGGTGTACAGTATCTAGGAAAATACTGCAAAATTCCAAACACTCAAATAAAAACTAAATTTTCCTTAACACATGACTGTCTTAAGAGGGGAACTTTCTGCTTTGCAACTTTTAGATATTGTAATTCAGACGTTAATCAGGTGTAGGTACCACTATGGGTTGTAAACATAATACAGTGGACCCCCGGTTAACGATTTTAATCCGTGCAAGAGGGGTAATTGTTATGCGAAATAATCGCTATGTGAATGAATTTTCCCCATAAGAAATAATGGAAATCAAATTAATCCGTGCAAGACACCCAAAAGTATGAAAAAAAAAATTTTACCACATGAAATATACATTTTCCCACACACAAAGAGAAGGATACATGCACAATAGTAGAGTAGTACATGCACAGTATATATTGTGCATGTACTAGTCTACTAAATGAAGAATAAATGACACTTACCTTTATTGAAGATGCAGCAATGACTGATGAGACACTGTGTCCTGGGAGTGCCTTTTCCTCCTGAGTACTGTAGGTCCTGTTTGGCATTTTCTTCCAGAACATGCCTTATCACACTGTGTATGCCACTACGATTCTTAAATCTCTCAAACCAACCTTTGCTGGCTTTAAATTCACCAATATGAGCACTAGTTCCAGGCATTTTTCCCTGTTCACCTGGGTGTTAGTCGACTTGTGTGGGTTGCATCCTGGGAGACAAGATTAAGGACCCCAATGGAAATAAGTTAGACAGTCTTCGATGACACTGACTTTTTTGGGTTATCCTGGGTGGCAAATCCTCTGGGGTTAATTGTTTCTTGGTATTCTCAATAAGCCACACCAACAACGGTGCTACAGCAGCAGCAGCAGCTGACAGTGCAGCAGCAGCAGCAGCTGACAGTGCAGCAGCAGCAGCAGCTGACAGTGCAGCAGCAGCAGCAGCTGACAGTGCAGCAGCAGCAGCAGCTGACAGTGCAGCAGCAGCAGCAGCTGTACCACCAATAGTAGCGATGGTTGATTGGGGTTTCTTGTACAGCTTGACTAGGTCGGCTATACGCACTCCACTTTCATACTTATCAATGATCTCTTTCTTCATTTCTATTGTAATTCTCACCCTTATTGCTGTAGGGTTGGCACTAGAAGCTTTCTTGGGGCCCATGGTCACTTATTTTCCAGAAAAAGCACCGAAAACACTGTAATAATACGAAATATTCCGATTGTATGCTTGGATGTTACCGCGGAGGCTGGCTGGTAAACAATGCCACCGGCGGAACATGTGAGCGCGTCTCGGACGAAAATCGGTAAGCGGGTTTTTAAGCGGTATGTGAGGCAAAATTTTTGCAATTAAAGTAAGCGGTATGCGAAATAATCGCTATGTGATGCCATCGTTATGCGGGGGTCCACTGTATTACATAGTAACATTTTTACATATCCCATATTACACTCAAGTGTTTTGGGCAAGGGTTAAGATAACACAGGAATTTAATTAAAAGTATTCAAAGGTATAAACAGTATGACAAATTCAAAATCTGAATAAGGGGGAGAAAGAGCGAGCTATTCTTACTTCTCCTTATAAGGAACTAGTTTAGGACAAATGGGATGTGTCTGTCTTGTGCTCAGTGGATAGAGGATCAAGCCTCCACCATGTCTTGCACTGAATGATCCACATGGGTTTAGCACTTAACATAAATTATTCATTTTATTTCTTCATAAAACAGTCAGTGCTTGTACTATTAACTGACAATCTTAAATATACAGTCAATTTCAGTCTATGAACTTTTTTCTCTGATTTTTTATAATGAAATAGATGTACAAGAATTAGTTATACAATAGTTTCTCTAAAGAAACTCATTGCTGTGATTTAGGAAAAATTATCCTTGAATGCTTAAAATGCTTATTGTATCTAAAATGACAGTTATAATTTTTGGTAAAGCATTTTAAGAATCCAGCATTAATAATGTCTCTTCATACAGGTGTTAAATCTTACCTGTGTTTTCATTTATTCTAAAGAACTTGTGCGCATCATCGCCTATAAAATGGTATGTCACATCACCGTAACGCCCTGAATCCCCATCTCTAGCAGACACGTGAGCAACAGTAGTTTTGATGGCAGAATTTTCTTGAATTGAAGCATCATACTGGGCAACTTTGAAGGTTGGAGAATGGGCATTGACTGGTGTGATAGTAACTACCACACGTGTATAGGCTGTGAAGACCCCATCACTCACTGACACATTTAGTATATGCTCATCACTCTCGCCCAGCTTTTGGCTGTTCCAAACAGTTATAATTCCTGAAAAAGAGACTGTATTATTATACAGTTTTTTTTGTGTGTGTGTGCGTGTGTGTGTGCATGTGCATATGCGTGCGTGCGTGCGTGCGTGTGTGTGTGTGTGTGTGTGTGTGTGTGTGTGTGTGTGTGTGTGTGTGTGTGTGTGTGTGTGTGTGTGTGTGTGTGTGTGTGTGTGTGTGTGTGTGTACTCACCTAATTGTGGTTGCAGGGGTCGAGACTCAGCTCCTGGCCCTGCCTCTTCACTGATCGCTACTAGGTCCTCTCTCTCTCTGCTTCCTGAGCTGTATCATACCTCTTCTTAAAACTAGGTATGGTTCCTGCCTCCACTACTTCACTTGCTAGGCTATTCCACTTCCTGACAACTCTATGACTGAAGAAATACTTCCTAACGTCCCTGTGACTCGTCTGAGTCTTCAGCTTCCAGTTGTGACCCCTTGTCCCTGTGTCCCCTCTCTGGAACATCCTATCTCTGTCCACCTTGTCTATTTCCCGCAGTATCTTGTATGTCGTTAGCATGTCTCCCCTGACCCTTCTGTCCTCCAGTGTCGTCAGTCCGATCTCCCTCAACCTTTCCTCGTACAACATTCCCCTGAGCTCTGGGACTAGCCTTGTTGCAAACCTTTGTACTTTCTCTAACTTCTTGACGTGCTTGACCAGGTGTGGGTTCCAGACTGGTGCTGCATACTCCAGTATGGGCCTAACATACACAGTGTACAGTGTCTTGAACGATTCCTTATTAAGGTATCGGAACGCTATTCTCAGGTTTGTCAGGCGCCCGTATGCTGCAGCAGTTATTTGGTTGATGTGTGCCTACGGTGATGTGCTCGATGTTATGGTAACCCCAAGGTCTTTCTCCCCGAGTGAGGTCTGTAGTCTTTGTCCACCTAGCCTATACTCTGTCTGTGGTCTTCTTTGCCCCTCCCCAATCTTCATGACTTTGCATTTGGCTGGATTGAATTCGAGAAGCCAGTTACTGGACCACATGTCCAGCCTGTCCAGGTCTCTTTGCAGTCCTGCCTCATCCTCATCTGATTTAATTCTTCTCATCAACTTCACATCATCTGCGAATAGGGACACTTCAGAGTCTATTCCTTCCTTCATGTCGTTCACATATATCAAAAATAACACTGGTCCTAGAACTGACCCCTGTGGGACCCCGCTCGTCACAGGCACCCACTGTGATACCTCTTCACATACCATGTGCATGTGTGTATTCACCTAGCTGTACTCACCTAGTTGAGGTTGCAGGGGTTGAGTCCAAGCTCCTGGCCCCGCCTCTTCACTGGTCGCTACTAGGTCACTCTCCCTGAACTGTGAGCTTTATCATACCTCTGCTTAAAGCTATATATGGATCCTGCCTCTACTACATTGCTTCCCAAACTATTCTACTTCCTGACTACTCTGTGGCTTAAGAAATACTTCCTAACATCCCTGTGATTCATCTGTGATTCTAACTGTGTCCCCTTGTTGCTGTGCCCCATCTCTGGAACATCCTGTCTTTGTCCACCTTGTCAATTCCTTTCAGTATTTTGTATGTCGTTATCATGTCCCCCCTATCTCTCCTGTCCTCCAGTGTCATCAGGTTGATTTCCCTTAACCTCTCCTCGTAGGACATACCTCTTAGCTCTGGCACTAGTCTTGTTGCAAACCTTTGCACTTTCTCTAGTTTCTTTACGTGCTTGGCTAGGTGTGGGTTCCAGACTGGTGTCACATACTCCAATATGGGCCTAACGTACACAGTGTACAGGGCCCTGAACGATTCCTTATTAAGATGTCGGAATGCTGTTCTGAAGTTTGCTAGGCGCCCATATGCTGCAGCAGTTATTTGGTTGATGTGCGCTTCAGGAGATGTGCCTGGTGTTATACTCACCTCAAGATCTTTTTCCTTGAGTGAGGTTTGGCCTCTGGCCCCCTAGACTGTATTCCGTCTGCAGTCTTCTTCGCCCTTCCCCAATTTCCATGACTTTGCACTTGGTGGCGTTAAATTCCAGGAGCCAATTGCTGGACCAGGTCTGCAGCCTGTCCAGATCCCTTTGTAGTTCCGCCTGGTCTTTGATCAAATGAATTCTTCTCATCAACTTCATGTCATCTGCAAACAGGGACACTTCGGAGTCTATTCCTTCCGTCATGTCGTTCACAAATACCAGAAACAGCACTGGTCCTAGGACTTACCCCTGTGGGACCCCACTGGTCACAGGTGCCCATTCTGACACCTCGCCACGTACCATGACTCGCTGCTGTCTTCCTGACAAGTATTCCCTGATCCATTGTAGTGCCTTCCCTGTTATCCCTGCTTGGTCCTCCAGTTTTTGCACTAATGTCTTGTGTGGAACTGTGTCAAACACCTTCTTGGAGTCCAAGAAAATGCAATCCACCCACTTCTCTCTCTCTTGTCTTACTTCTGTCACCATGTCGTAGAACTCCAGTAGGTTTGTGACACAGGATTTCCCATCCCTGAAACCATGTTGGCTGCTGTTGATGAGATCATTCCCTTCTAGGTGTTCCACCACTCTTCTGATAATCTTCTCCCTGACTTTGCATACTATACATGTCAGTGACACTGGTCTGTAGTTTAGTGCTTCATGTCTGTCTCCTTTTTTAAAGATTGGGACTACATTTGCTGTCTTCCATGTCTCAGGCAATCTCCCTGTTTCGATAGATGTATTGAATATTGTTGTTAGGGGTACACATAGCACCTCTGCTCCCTCTCTCAGGACCCATGGAGAGATGTTATCTGGCCCCATTGCCTTTAAGGTATCTAGCTCACTCAGAAGCCTCTTCACTTCTTCCTCGGTTGTGTGTACTGTGTCCAGCACTTGGTGGTGTACCCCACCTCTCCGTCTTTCTGGAGCCCCTTCTGACTCCTCTGTGAACACTTCTTTGAATTTCTTGTTGAGTTCCTCACATACTTCACGGTCATTTCTTGTTGTCTCTCTTCCTTCCTTCCATAGCCTGATTACCTGGTCCTTGACTGTTGTTTTCCTCCTGATGTGGCTGTATAACAGTTTCGGGTCAGATTTGGCTTTCGCTGCTATATTGTTTTCATATTGTCGCTGGGCCTCCCTTCTTCTCTGTACATATTCCTTTCTGGCTCTACGACTGCTCTCCTTATTCTCCTGGGTCCTTTGACTTCTATATTTCTTCCATTCCCTAGCACACTTGGTTTTTGCCTCCCTGCACCTTTGGGTGAACCATGGGCTCATCCTGACTTTTTCATTATTCCTGTTACCCTTGGGTACAAACCTCTCCTCAGCCTCCTTGCATATGGTTGTTATATATTCCATCATCACATTAACTGGCTTCCCTACCAGTTCTCTGTCCCACTGAACCCCGTTCAGGAAGTTCCTCATTCCCGTGTAGTCCCCTTTTTTGCAGTTTGGCTTCATTCGCCCTGGCCTTCCTGCTTCCCCCTCCACTTGTAGCTCTACTGTGTATTCGAAGCTTAAAACCACATGATCGCTGGCCCCCCAAGGGGTCTTTCATATGTGATGTCCTCAAAATCTGCACTACTCAAGGTGAATAATAGGTCCAGTCTTGCTGGTTCATCCTCTCCTCTCTCTCTTGTAGTGTCCCTTACATGTTGGTACATGAAGTTTTCCAGTACCACCTCCATCATCTTAGCCCTCCATGTATCTTGGCCACCATGTGGCTCCAAGTTCTTCCAATCGATTTCCTGTGTGTACATATATGCATGCGTGTGTGCGTGTGTGTTAGGATAAACAATGGCATAAGTTAAATTATAAGAAAGACAATAGTTGTACGGTAGTAAAATTTTTATTACAAATTTTTGTTCAAAAATGCTGATACACTGCCTTACAATGAAAACAAGCACCTTCAGATCAGGCTCAGAAGATAGTGTTTCAGTCCCAGACCAGGCTTACCAGAGGATGGCCTGATCACCCAGGCTGTTGATACTAGCTTCATGAAGTTTAGGACCAATGTATGCACCACAGCCTGGCAGACAGTTCCTTATCAGCATGGCTGTGTTACATACATTGGCCTTCATGCAGCCATCCACTGGAAAGCTTGGTCTGAGACTGGGCTGTGAGGACACTGACATTTGGAAAATTCTGCAGGTAGACTCCAGGCAGGTAGGTCAAAAGCAATGTAACCAGTAAGATAATGGAGATACCAGTCAAACAATAATCACAATTTTTAAGTACTGATGTGTATGTGTATGGGGGGGGAAGCTAAAACTATTCATATAATGAAAATAAAAATGTTTCCCATAGGCCTGACCCTGCCCTTCCCCTTGTCTCACATTGGCACCTAAGATTATGATTATTTTTTATATTTGTATGCTTAATAATATGAGGTCATGGGCAAAATATGTAATGGTTTTCCCTGCATACACAGTGTTTTCCTCAACATCCTTAATTCCTTAACTGATTGACTGATTTATAACATATACAAAATTTAGAGCATATTTTAGCAAAAAAAAATCACTTGCTGATGTAGTCGATAACTTTTAACAAATTGCAAAGTATCAGTAGCCTATGTATTAATGAGATAATGTACTTCAAACATTTCTTATACAGTACTCTGCAAAATGACATCATTGGTACATTGATATGAGATCATGCATTAGTTCACATTTAGTGTTTCTGGAAATTTACTAAGGGAAAATATAATGCTGGTTACCTGAAGCAGAGTTGATTGCAAAAACCTGTAGGTCATTGCCATCAACAATAGTGTAAGTAAGTTTGTTTACATCACCAACATCATCATCAGAGGCAGAAACAAGAGTGACAAAATGGCCACGAGAAGCATCTTCCGTCACTAAACAGTGCTGGGCTTGTTGCTCAAATACCGGTGGGTTATCATTCATGTCCAGAACTGTAACAAAACAGGGTGACATCAATTAAAACTGTGTTGTATCTGAACACATCGTCATATTTTATACTGGAATATTTTGTTTTCAGAGGAGGAAGACAGCAAATAGCAGTTTTTTAGGAAGGGACTATTATCCTGTCATACAAGTAACAAAATAAAAGTACATCATTTTGCACTAACTGGAGTGATGGTTATCACCATGTCATATGAAATTAATCTTGTAACTTTCACTTGTAAGGAATGTATATTCATTCCACTGTCATATTAGTGGCTTGGAGAAACTTAGGTATTATTTTATAATGGAATATTTAGTTTTTATGGAATGGAGTGGTAAGCCAGTTGAAGGCTTTGGACAAATGACCAAAAGCTTAAAGAAACAGGTCTTCATTTGACAAATACCTATGTAAAGATAAATTATTCTATATCTTTCTGACAGAATACTGCCATCACTGTTCAACACTCATTTGCTTTCCATTAGTATGAATCAACTGCATTAGAATTTGGAAGGCGGTAATAAATCTTGGGTGATTATGAGTGTACTGAGATAAAAATCTGAAGAAATCTGAGTGTACAACAGATGGTGCTGTGGAAGGTGTAGCAGGGAGTATAGTGTGTTTGATGTTACTAACACTAACAAATATTTAATTTGAATTTTGTGCAGCAAAATGGACTGCATAATTTAAAAAATAACACAGAAAATATAACAATTCTGAAAATGCACTGTTTAGAAGATAGAAGAGAGAAATGCAATGTGATACCCACAGAACTGTATAGAATAATATTTAAATTCAGATACAAATTTTTGGAAACCAGAATGAGCAGGAACCCAAAGCCAAATTTTTAACTACAAAGAAAAAAAGTTGAAAAGACTGCAGAAATTACTTTACATTCCTTCTTTTTTAAATAGTGATAGGCAGAATACAATGAGAGACTGCAGCATGTATAGCGGAGCCAGTGACATATTCGTTCTTTCAACACACCAGCCGTATCCCACCAAGGCAGGGTGGCCCAAAAGGAAAAACAAAAGTTTCTCCTTTTACATTTAGTAATATATACAGGAGAAGGGGTTACTAGCCTCTTGCTCCTGGCATTTTAGTTGCCTCTTACAACACGCATGGCTTATGGAGGAAGAATTCTGTTCCACTTCCCCATGGAGGTAAGAGGAAATAAACAAGAACAAGAACTAGAAAGAAAATAGAAGAAAACCCAAAGGGGTGTGTGTATATATATGCTTGTACATGTATGTGTAGTGTGACCTAAGTGTAAGTAGAAGTAGCAAGACATACCTGAAATCTTGCATGTGTATGAGACAGAAAAAAAAAAGACCAGCAATCCTTCTTCTTTCTTCTTTCAACATACCAGCCGTATCCCACCGAGGCGGGGTGGCCCAAAAGAAAAAACTTAAGTTTCTCTTTTTAAATTTAGTAATATATACAGGAGAAGGGGTTACTAGCCCCTTGCTCCCGGCATTTTAGTCGCCTCTTACAACACGCATGGCTTACGGAGGAAGAATTCTGTTCCACTTCCCCATGGAGGTAAGAGGAAATAAACAAGAACAAGAACTAGAAAGAAAATAGAAGAAAACCCAGAGGGGTGTGTGTGTGTATATATATGCTTGTACATGTATGTGTAGTGTGACCTAAATGCAAGTAGAAGTAGCAAGACATACCTGAAATCTTGCATGTTTATGAGACAGACAAAAGACACCAGCAATCCTACCATCATGTAAAACAATTACAGGCTTCAGTTTTACACTCACTTGGCAGGACGGTAGTACCTCCCTGGGCGGTTGCTGTCTACCAACCTACTACCTAGAACCAGTGACATATAAGAAAAAAATTATAAGAGCAATGAAGCACTCCAAGTACCCTTGATTAAGGAAATCAGGATAAATGTCTCTTGACATGGGTCTTAATCATATGATGAACCACTCAGTGGCAAGTAACTATTGCATACCAATGCTAGGGATTCACCTCACTTCAAAATTAATAGCTCAAACTGCATCATTCTTCTGCACACTTCTCAGTGAGTATACTATAATACAAAAAAGGCAATTACATACCTGTTACCAGAATATGTGCTGTAGATGAGAGTGGTGGTGTCCCTTTGTCAATGGCCTGCACCAAGAAATGGTGAATTGGCACTGTTTCTCGGTCCAGTCCTTGCTTTAGTATCAACACCCCAGAATCTCCCTCCATATAGAAGTTCTTGGGTAATGTCCCATTAAGTCCCATTAACCGATAACTCACTCCTGCATTTGGTCCTGTATCTTCATCTGAGGTAGTGACAGTCAAAACTGGAGTTGCAATAGCAGTGGCCTCTGACACTGTGATGTTGTAAAAGTGCTGTAAAAACTCTGGAGGGTTGTCATTGACATCAGTAACTTGTACTGAGACAACCACCTCAGCCCACTTGCCAGAATAACTATCTGTGGCTCTCACAGTTAGCTGGTAGGAATTCTGAGTCTCATAGTCAAGTCCATCTTGGACTCGAATTAGACCTAAAAAGAAGTCATTGAGCATAGCATTTAGGTTAATACTTTTTACTCATTGAAAATATATAATACTGTATATTTCAACTACAGGTTTTAACTTTTACATAAATTTGCCCCACCAAAAGAAAATTATTAGGAAATAAATATTAGACTTACCCTCTTCATGCTCCATAGCAAATGTTTGATGTTCATTACCACCAACAACTGTATAAATCAGTTTTCTATTAAGCTGACTGTGAGCTGTGACAGTCACAATAGGTGTGTGAGATTCTGCATTCTCTGCTACAGAAGCACTGTAAAACTGTCTGTCAAAAATTGGCTGCGATCTGTCCACCACTTTAAGTCGAACAGGAACTTGTGAAGACAAAGGTGGGGAGCCTAGAATGTAAAGTGTACAAAATAATATTCTCTTTATTTTTGAAAAACATAATCTAATTTAAATATTGAGGATGATGCCTTGGTCCCTTTGTTGTTTTTGCCAATCACACGGCATCAGAATAAAGTGAAAAGTGGGAAATCTTTTGGAAAGAAAAATGAAACACAGGTAAAAGAGATCTGCATATTTTGATCTTGGTCAGAGACCCACTTCTACAGGGTTACTGATCAAGGTCAAGATATACAGATTTCTTTAACCACATTTTCGTTTTTCTATGTTAATGATTTGTCACTTTTCATCAATCGGCATTCATGACACTTTAATCCAAGCATAATAAAAAAAATAATGCTAAGTTAAATTATCTACATTGCACACAAATTAACAAATATGAGGAGCTAGCCTAAAATTAGTATACAGTACCTAAATATAAAACAGGTAATAAAAAATGGGACTTTTATATAACTTACCACCATCATAAGCACTTATCAAAAGCTCATATTCACTCTTGAGGCCCTCTAGTGTTTGTTTCAGACTTATTTCGCCTGTTGAACGACTTACGGCAAACACCTCCCCATTCCCACGTTGAAGCTCATAACGAACATCACGATTTTCATCAGCATCAAAATCAGTAGCATGAACCTGAAGTTTAAATAGCAAAATATTGGATTCAGGAATCTAGTAAAGCTGTTAGTTGTAATTGTTAAAACCTATTAGTTTATTTTTTTTTAAACGTCAGTTGTCTCCCACCGAAGCAGGGTGACCCAAAAAGAAAGAAAATTCCCAAAAATGAAATACTTTCATCATCATTCAGCACTTTCACCTCACTCATACATAATCACTGTCTTTGCAGAGGTGCTCAGATACAACAGTTTAACCCTTTCAGGGTCCGTGCTGTAGATCTACGGCTTTACATTCAGGGTCCAAACTGTAGATCTACGCCATGAGCTCAGCTCACTCTGATAAGCTGTGAGCAGTAAATTTGGGCCTAGATTTGAGAGAGTATATCTATGTGGTATGTGTGCACCACATAAAACAAATCCTGCAGCACACAGTGCACGAGAGAAAAAAAACGAGACCGTAAATTTTGATTAAAACAGCGACTTTGCAGTGTTTTTTTATATCTTTTCTATAGATTTATTTAAAATTTCTTGGTCTCATTTGATAGAATGGAAGATATACTACAGAAATAGAGATGATTTTGATTGGTTTAAGTACTGGAAATGACTTGAAACTGAGCTCAAAGTAGCAGAAATGTTAAATTTCTGCCGCTGTTCAAGAGTAAACAAATGACCTCACAAGTCTAATACATGACAGCTGGTGCATCTAATATACATTCACTAATGTGGTGATATTATTTATACAATTATTACAGTATTGCATAACAGTATATCTTCTATTATTTGGTTTGAATAAAAATTCATTATGTGAATAAAAAATCAAAATGGAATTCATTTGTAAAGCCTGAAAACGTAACTAATGAACAGAGGAAATGTTAGTTTAGTGCCAGGAATTCCTGCATTGTTTATCCTGGACCCTATTTTGAAATTGGAATATTTTGAACTTTGCCAAATTACCAATTTCCGGTCACTTTATTTTGTTGTTAATACAGTTGACTTGGCGATTTCTTGTGCTCAATTGATCGAATAGAGTGTAATACAGTGGACCCCCGCATAACGATATTATTTCAATCCAGAAGTCTGTTTGGGTGCCGTTATAGACCGAATTTGTTCCCATAAGAAATATTGTGAATTAGATTAGTCCATTTCAGACCCCTAAAAATACACCTACAAAAGCACTTACAAAAATAAACTTACGTAATTGGTCGAGTTGGGAGCTGATCGTTATCTGGGGGTCCACTGTACTAGTGAAACAGTTAAGAATTTGGTTGACTGGAATACTGCAATTGCCCTAAAATGGGGGTCAAAGTCAGCAAAATCGCCGATGAGTAAATATCGCCAACATCAAAATTCGCGAGAGCATAATTTCCTCAATTTTCCATCATATTTCGTACTTTTTGTTTTATTACCTTAAGAAAAAAGATTCTCTTCCATTTCATAATAAAAAATATCAAAATTATTTTTTGAAAATTCTTGGACCCTGGTGCACACTTTGAAATTTGGCCCCTGGACCCTGAAAGAGTTATAAGTCAACCTCCAAACTGCCAATATCCCTGAGTCTTCCTTTAAAGCGCAGGCATTGTACTTCCCATTTCCAGAACTGAAGTCCGGCTAAATCTATAATAACCGGTTTCCCTGAATCACTTCACAAAATATTACCCTGCTCACACTCCAACAGCTCATCAAGCCCCAAAAACAATTTGTCTCCATTCACTCCTAACATGCTCACACATGCTTGCTGGAAGTCCAAGCCCCTCGCCCCCAAAACCTCCTTTACCCCCTCCTTCCAACCTTTTCAAGGACAACCCCTACCCTGCCTTCCTTTCCCTACAGATTTATACACTCTCCAAGTCATTCTATACTTTGATCCATTCTCTCTAAATGCCCAAACCACCTCAACAACCCCTCTTCAGCCCTCTGACTAATACTTTTAGTAAATCGACACCACCTAATTTCCACACTCTGAATTCTCTGCATAATATTTACACCACACAGTGAACTTAGACAGGACATCTCCACTGCCTCCAGCCACCTCCTTGCTGCAGTATTTGCAACCCAAGCTTCACACCCATATAAGAGTGTTGGTACCACTATATTTTCATACATTCCCTTCTTTGACTCCATGGATCACATTTTCTGTCTCCACAGATACCTCAATGCACCACTTACCTTTTTTCCTTCATCAATTCCATGGTTAACCTCATCCTTCATCAACCCATCTGCTGACAAGTCAACTCCCAAATATCTGAAAACATTCACTTCTTCCATACTCCCTTTCTCCCATGTGATATCCAATTTTTCTTTACCTAAATCATTTGATACCCTCATCACCTTACTCTTATCTACGTTCACTTTCAACTTTCTACCTTTACACACCCTCCCAAACTCATCCACTAACCTTAGCAACTTTTCTTTAGAATCTCCCATAAGCACAGTATCATCAGCAAAAAGTAACTGTGAACATCAAAATGGTATACAATACCGACAGGTTGTTAGGTAAGACACATATGCAACAGTTAGACAACTTTATTCCGAAACGTTTCGCCTACACAGTAGGCTTCTTCAGTCGAATACAGAAAATAGGCAGGAACAGTAGAGATGTGAAGACGATGTAATCAGTCCATCACCCTTGTAGTCGTAGAATTTGAGGTTGTCAGTCCCTCGGACTGGAGAAGTTCAGTTCCATAGTCAGATAGTTCCTGACTATGGAACTGAACTTCTCCAGTCCGAGGGACTGACAACCTCAAATTCTACGACTACAAGGGTGATGGACTGATTACATCGTCTTCACATCTCTACTGTTCCTGCCTATTTTCTGTATTCGACTGAAGAAGCCTACTGTGTAGGCGAAACGTTTCGGAATAAAGTTGTCTAACTGTTGCATATGTGTCTTACCTAACAAAAAGTAACTGTGCCAACTCCCATTTTGTATCTGAGTCTCCATAATTTAATCCCACCCGCCCCCCCCCCAACACTCTAACATTTACTTCTTTTACAACCCCATATATAAATATATTAAACAACCATGGTGAGATTACACATCCCTGTCTAAGACCTACTTTTACCGGGAAGTAATCTCCCTCTCTCCTACACACCCTAACCTGAGCCTCACTATCCTCATAAAAATTCTTTAAAGAATTTAGTAACTTACTACCTATTCCATATACCTGCAACATCTGCCACATTGCTCCCCTATCCACTCTATCATATGCCCTTTCTAAATCCATAAATGCAATGAAAACTTCCCTACCTTTATCTAAATACTGTTCACATATATACTTCAATGTAAACACTTGATTCACACAGCCACTACCCACTCTAAAGCCTCCTTGCTCATCTGCAATCAAGCCTATTAGTATGATAATTAACCCTTATACTGTCCAAATGTAGATCTACATTCGCTCGCGTAGCACTCTGAATGTAGATCTATGTTTCTTTTATACATGCTTTCGAATGGAGAAAATCAAGGTCGGAGTGCTACACACGTAAACATAGATCTACATTTTTACAGTTTAAGGGTTAAATGCAAAAACATGCTGACACTTTATAATAAAGATAACACCACAGTACAATGCCTGCACTTTAAAGGAGGGGTTTGGGATATTGGCAGTTTGGAGGGGTATGTTATATATGTTTCTAAACTGTTGTATCTGGGCACCTCTGCAAAGACAGTGATTATGTGTAAGTGAGGCGAAAGTGTTGAATGATGATAGAAGTATTTTCTTTTTGGGATTTTCTTTCTTTATGGGTCACCCTGCCTCGGTGGGAGATGGTGACTTGTTGAAAAAAACAAAAAAACACAGTAGAGTGACAAGGGTCTAAGTGGTAGTCTGGCATTCCTAAAATCACCAGTCCAATACCTCAGACAACTGCAAAAGGCTTAAGCACCAGGCTGGTGATTCTACGATGGCCAGATTGTGTTCAAATCCTGTCACTCCATACATAAATATGTTGTATGAGTAATGCAGCTCTAGAGCATGGAAAATATCAGAACCTGACTAGCATTCTGAATATATAGCAGATAGTTTATATAAAATCAGAAAACTCTAAATATTTGTTACAATAAGTATTATACAGTGATATACATATTTTTAAAATATATGTCTTTTTTAAAATGAACTTACCCTAAAAATAATCTGATGCTTCTTAGCATCAACTGAGATAACTCCATAGTAAGGTGTGTTAACAAAGATTGGGGCATTGTCATTTTTGTCTGTGACTACCACATGTACCTGCACATGAGCCACTCGAGCTGGGGTGGTGTGTACTACACTGCGGACCTGCATAAAAAATACACATTCAGATTTGTAATTAAAAAAATTAATTGTAAATAGGATTTAATTTTTGCTAATTTTTTAACACACCAGTTATCTCTTACAGGGGCAGAGTGACCCCCCCCCCCCCAAAAAAAAGAGAGAAAACCTTTTCATTAACATTCAATCGCTGTTTTGCCGGAAGGGTTTTGACATCACAGTTCAGGCACTGTGCTTCCCACCTCCAGGACTCAAATGTGGCTAACTAGTATCCCTGAATCCCTTCATAAATGTTACCTTGCTCACACTCCAACAGTACATTAAGTCACAAAAACCTTTCACCTCCACTCCAACCTAACATGATCACACAGGCCTGTTGGATGTTCAAGCCCCTATCACTCAAAACCTCCTTTACCCCCTCCTTCCAACCCTTCCTGGGACAACTCGTACCCCTTCTTCCCTCCATCCAGTATTCACATCCCTTCCTAGTTATCTTATTTTGCTCCATCCTCTCTAGTGTCCAAACCACCCTGACAACCTATTTTCAGCCCCTGAATTATACTTTTGGTAACCTCACACCCTTTAATTTCCATGTACTAAATTCTCTACCAACATGGCATAATTAACATTGACACAAAGTAGATATTTAAATATTACATAAAAGAAAAAAAAGGTGACCTTTACCTCTATTACTAATAAATAATTGTCTTGGACTTCTCGGTCAAAAGGCTTGCCAGTGGTCTGAATGACACCTGATGTATCACCAATGGTGAACATGTCTGTTGGGTTGAGAATGCTGAACCTGAGATGCTCATTAAGATTACTTCCTAGAACATGAACCATTGCAACCTTGTCCACTCGTGTGCTATTTTCTTCAACGGCAGCAAAGTATTTTTCTTCGCTGAACCTCAACCCAGTTTGGGGTATTGGTTCAACGTGAATGTTGACAGCTGCACTTGATGCAAATTGTCCATCATTCACAGTGACCTATCAGGAAAAAAAAACACCAGTAAAACCTGTTTAGAGCATACAAGTAGCTTCCAGATTTATTTATAACCCTGATGATGTATAATTAAAAGTTGACTTAGCAAGAAAATTTAAAGACGTGTACAGCTCAATACAGTGGACCCCCGCATAACGATTACCTCCGAATGCGACCAATTATGTAAGTGTATTTATGTAAGTGCGTTTGTACGTGTATGTTTGGGGGTCTGAAATGGACTAATCTACTTCACAATATTTCTTATGGGAACAAATTCGGTCAGTACTGGCACCTGAACATACTTCTGGTGTGAAAAAATATCGTTAACCGGGGGTCCACTGTATTTGCCTGCCCTCATAGTGCAGTAAAACCTCAATGTAATTGACTTTTAAATTAATGGTTAAAACCCACTAGGTAAATTTTACTTTTAACTCCTTTATTTTTAAGATTTATTGTTATATAACTGTAAATTGTGTACAGTACTATATTAGGTATACATAATTTTCTTTTTTTTGGGGGGGTATATTTTAAAACTACTCTGATTTAATGGACACTCAGACAATCCCCCTATTAGTCTATTATATGGAGGGTTTACTGTAAAAGCAATGTAAACCCCCACTACATTACAAAATACTTTTATTGCAACACTTAGTATGCATAAGTAAGCTACAATAAGTCTTATGCTATACCAAAACAAAATAGCCAGCCAGAAAAATACAGTACAGTACAGTTGATTTAAGGGGGTTTAAAGCCTGTGTACTACATGACGATCATTAAGTAACATGTTCACCACCTTTCTTGAATACTTAAATCCCTAAAATAAGGATTGAAGTAAACACTTAACATATACACACTAATTGATATACACCTCATGGGGTATACATCTTTCAACGCACCAGCCGTATCCCACCAAAGTAGGGTGGCACAAAAAGAAAAACAAAACTTTCTTTATAAATTTAGTAATGTATACAGAAGGGGTTACTAGCCTCTTGCTCCTGGCATTTTAGTCGCCACTTATGACACGCATGGATGGTGTATACAGTGGACCCTCAGTTATCGTAATTAATTGGTTCCAGAGAGTGTAACTAAAACCAAATTTGACAATATTCGAATTCATTTTCCACATAAGAAATAATGTAAATCCAAGTAATCCGTTCCAGACACCCAAAAGTATTAAAATAAAATAAGTTTTTACATGAAATATACATTTACCTACACAGAAAACAATGAGACATGACGAATAAACTGTAATAACATGACACTTACCTTTACTGAAGACTTGTTGATGTATGGAAGACAGGAGGAAGTGAGAGGATGGAGGAGTTACTATTGTTTGGAAGGGGAATCCCCTTCCATAAAGACTTCAGGTACCAAGTCCTTTTCCAGGGTTACTTCTCTTCTTTGTTTTTTAATGCCACTAGGACCAGCTTGAGAGTTACTGGACCCTTGTCACTCAAAAAATTGTTCCAGAGAGCTCTGTTTCTGGCGTTTCTATTAAATTTCCCTAAAATGGGACACGCCATTGTCATTGTACATGTTGCCAACACGGCCTGCAACAGCTTTGGCAGGGTGATGTTCATCCATAAATGTTTGTACCTCACTCCACTTTGCACAAATGTCCTTAATCTTTGAAGAAGGCACCTTCATCCATCTCTCTTCCTCCTCCTCTGAAGCAACTTCCTGAGTTGTGGTCTGTTGCTGTTACAGATGAAGGCCTTGCAGCTCTTCAGTTGTTAGCTCTTCCCTGTGGTCCTCCACCAACTCTTCCACATCCTCACCACTCACCTCCAATGCCACAATACTTTCCACAACTGCCATAGGCTCGTCAGGGTCAGCCCCAAACCCTTCAGAATCCCTCTCTTGGACACATTCTGGCTACAATTTTCTCCTAGCAGAGTTCAAAGTCCTGGAAGTCACTCCCTCCCAAGCCTTACCTATAAAGTTTATGCAATGGAGGATACCGAAGGGATCTTTCTAGAAAACTCTTTGGTCAATTAGGTGTCCGCAGTTATGTCAAAGCACCTTTGAAACATTGCTTTGGTGTAAAGCTTTTTGAAGTTTGAAATGACCTGCTGGTCCATGGGCTGGAGGAGTGGTATTAGGGGGCAAGAACTTCACTGTTATGAAACAAAACTCCTCCATAATTTGCTCATCCAAGTCTGGAGGATGAGCAAGACCATTGTCCAGTACCAGGAGGCACTTAGAGTTCCAATTTATTTTTCAGGAGGTATTTCTTCACACTTGGGCCAAACACTTCATTGAACCAATCAAAGAAAATTTCCCTCGTGACCCATGCCTTACAGTTTGCCTTCCACATCACACATAATTTACTCTTGATGACACTGGTTTTCTTGAACACTCTGGGATTTTCAGAGTGATACACCAGTAAAGGCTTCACTTTGAAATCCCCACTAGCATTACTACAGAACATGAGAGTTAGCCTGTCTTTCATAGCCTTATGCCCTGGGAGCACCTTTTCCTCCTGTGTGATGTAGGTCCTCTTTGGCATTTTCTTCCAAAAGAGGCCTCTTTTGTCACAACTGAGCACTTGTTGGGGTTTGAATTGTTCAGCCTCTGTACCCCTTGAATTCCTGAACATATTTTTCAGCTGCACATTTGTCAGAACTTGCAGCCTCACCATGCCTTACCACATTGTGTATGCCACTATGCTTCTTAAATCATTCAAACCAGCCTTTGCTGGCCTTAAATTCACAAACATCAGCACTAGTTCCAGACATTTTTATGCCTTTGCACAAATTATCAACTGCATAACACTATTTCCTGCTAACTGTTTTTCACTGATCCATACCAACAACAAAGTCTCCACATTTTCAAGTATTTGCAATCTCTGTTTTGTAAGCATATTTGCAACTTTTGCAACAACAGCTTCCTTGCTTTCCTTTTTCTTGGCCATGATGGAAGCAACGGTTGTACTGGGTTTCTTATACAACCTGGCAAACTGTACTCCACTCTCATATTTGGCAATGATGTCTTTCTTGAATTCTATGGTATTTCTCACCTTCTTTACCAAAGCTTTAGAAGCTTTCTTTGGGCCCATGGTGGCTTATTTAGTAGTTGCAAGCACAAAAAAGAATGGAATATTACAAAATGTATTGTATGAATGCGTGGAGTGACGGTCACTCACTGATAAACAATAGCGGACTGACTGTGAATGGTGTGAGATGATGTGCGGGGCCGCTTGGGGCCACTCGTACGCATCTGGGACGAACGACTATTACCAAGGTACAGTGGACCCCCGAGTTTCGGCGGCATCAACTTTCGTGAAATCCGACTTTCGGCAAGTTTTTTTGGCAAAATTTGGCCTTGCGTTTTGTGACTAGACTCGTGATTCGGCGACCGTCCGGTACCCGTCCGCCCGTCACTGCGCACACAAAGCCAGTCTCCCATGCCATTCACGCTCAGTGTGCCATTGTTTACCAACACGTGACCATCACCCAGGCGGGTTCATACGTAATAATCCATTGTTTTTTGTGATTGCAACTGCTAAGTAAGTCACCATGGGCCCAAGGAAAGCTAGTGTAAGCCCTTTGGTAAAGAAAGTGAGGAACACGATCGAATTTAAGAAGGAAATCATTGAAAAATATGAGAGTGGAGTCCATGTTACAGAGCTTGCCAGGATGTATGGCAAACCCCATTCAGCCATCACTTCGATCATGGCGAAAGAAAAGGAAATAAAGTGTGCTGTTGTTGCAAAGATTAAGGACATTTGTGCAAAGTGGATTGAAGTGCAAACATTTATGGATGAACTTCACCCTAACAAAGCTCTTGCAGGCCATATTGGCAACATGTACAATGACAGTGTTGTGTCCCACTTCAGACAAATCTTAAAGAAACGCCAGAAACAGAGCTCTCTGGACAGATATTTCATGCGACACGGTTCCAGTGACTCTCAAGTTGTTCCCAGTGTCAGTGTCTTTAAAAAACAAAGAAGGGAAGTAACCCCAGATAAGGACTTCATACCTGAAGTCCTAATGGAAGGAGATTCTCCTTCCAAACAATAGTGTATACCTTCCTCCTATCCCCTCCTCCCGTCTTCCATCCACCCAGAAGTCTTCAGTAAAGGTAAGTGTAATGTTATTATTATTTTTTATATACATGTACTTGATTTCTCATTGTTTTCAGTATGTAAATCTTTATTTAATTTGAAAAAAAATATTTTATTTTAATATTTTTGGGTGTCTGGAACGGATTAATTTTATTTCCATTATTTCCTATGGGGAAAATGGTTTTGCCATTCGGCAATTTTGACTTTCAGCAGGCTCTCTGGAACGGATTAATCACGAAACTCGGGGGTCCACTGTAAATGACAATCACTGAGCCAATATTTTGACAAAAAAATGTTACAATTGCCAAATATACAAAATCCGATGACTATGATATCCGGGGGTCCACTATATATTCTTCTTTCTTTCAACAAGCCGGCCGCATCCCACAGAAGCAGGGTGGCCCAAAAAGAAAAACGAAAGTTTCTCTTTTTAAATTCAGTAATGGTGTGTATATATATCCTATAGAAATGCCCTACAAATCTGTGGGCTTCCTTATTTGCAAATTTTGACTATCCAACAATTTTACTGAAAGCAACCAGTGAAACTATTTAATTAACATGTGTTTTTGTGGCTCAGTGGCCTTCCCACACCCAGATCTTTTACTCTAACCATTATTTCCTATGAATGTCAATATTAACCAGATTAGAGTGATATATTACAGAGATGTAATTTCTGATATACTACATGTACAAATAAAATAAAGATACAAAAGCAGAATTTGCTATGGAAATTAAATTTTTTATTATTCATAGTTTCTAATTTTGATGGACCTCTAGGAATGTAATTCCCAGCAAATTAGTAGGGATAACTGTATCTGGATACAAATTCTTGTGGAAACATTTTACTGCATGAGGCCATGTTGCAGTACTGTATGTACAGTATTATCAACATATCTAAAATACTTGAAGTACATATTGCAATATACACTTTACAGTATTACAACATACAGCATTTTGAAATTTATATATACCTGCCAACCAGTATTTTGTATTCAGAAATGTTTTCATTTATTTATTCATACATAAATGGAATATACATATACCTGAATAATTCACTTACACATATACAATAATTCATTTACTAATACATGGATATGCATACATATTTTATAACACTCATTTCCATGCTTAAACAAACAAGCAATGTGAATAAATCAAATAATCTATTATAGTGTACATACCTTGAGTTGATAGTGGCTAGCAAGATTACTGGAATCATTAACTGTGAGGAGTCCAGTTTTTGCATTTATCTTAAACTTTCCGTCCTTGTTTCCATCAGCTATTTCATATTCAAGATTGGCTTTACCATCAAAATCTAGGTCAGTGGCATTCAGATGGACTACAGATACATCCCTGAAATATAATTCCCCAAAAGGAGTTATCAAAGTTGATGATACATTGTATTTTTTTTAACTCACCGGCTATCTCCCACTGGGGCAGGGGGACCCAAAAAAAGAAGAAACAATTTCATCATCCTTCATTGTATCACTGTCTTGCCAGAGATGCACTGCTACTACAGTTCAGATGCCGCTCCAAACTGCAAATATCCCTACCCCCTCCTTCAGAGTGCAAGCAGTGTACCTAGCACCTCCAGGACTCAAGTCTGGCTAACTGGCTTCCATGAATCTCTTCACAAATGTTACCTTGGTCACACTCCAACAGCTCATCAGTTCCCAAAAACCATTTGCCTTTACTCCTATCTAACATGCTCACACACACACCTGCTGGATATCAAAGCCTCTTGCACACAAAACCTGCTTTACCCTCTCTCACCACCCTTTCCTAAGATGACCCCTACCCAGCCTTCCCTTCACTACAGATTTATACACCCTTAAAGTCATCATATTTTGCTCCATCCTCTTTAAATATCCAACCCCTCAACCCCTCCTCACCCCTCTGGATAATACTTTTAGAAACCCTGCACCTCCTCCTAATCTCCAATCTACGAATTCTCTGCACAATATTTACACCACACATTGCCCTCAGACATGACATCTCTGCTGCCTCCAGCCTCCTCCTTGCTGCAACATTCACAACCCATCCTGCACACACATGCCCTCAATTCCCTTTTGCCTCCATGGAAAACATTCTTCATCTCCACAGATGCCTTGATGCACCACTCACCTTTTTCTTCCCACATCAATTCTATGGTTCACCTCGTCTTTCATAGACTCATCCGCTGACAAGTGCATTCCCAAATATATGAACACATTCACTTCCTCCATATTTCCTTCTTTCAATCTGATATCCAATCTTTCATTGCCTAAACCTGTTTGTTACCATCATCACTTGGCTCTTTTCTAGGTTGACTTTCAATTTCCTCTTTTCACATACCCTCCCAAATTTGTGTGCCAACCTTTGCAACTTCTCTCCAGAATCTCCTGAAAGCACCATGTTATCGACAGACATCAATTAGATACTTGTGCAACACTCTGGTATCTTTAATGAGGAAATGTTTCACCACACAGTGGCTTCTGTGTGGCAAAATGTTTCCTCATTAAAGATACCCAAGGAATGTAGATAAATGGTTCTCTGAACCATTTATCTACATTCCTGTCAGACACAACAACATCTTGGGACCTTAATACAGAGAATTCTTCACTTGCCTAACATTTAGGCATGACCTACTTCCACATTTGGATTTGTCAACTGTGATACCACCTACGGCTGCTGCACCTCATCTGCCTACAGTATATAAGCCACTTCTTCACACATATGCTGTATTCTTTTCAAGATTGATGTACTGATTACATTGACTCAAGGCTGAGGGACTGATTACCTCAAACTCCTCCTGTTCTTCACCATTCTCCTTTGTATGGACTGATGAAGCCAATCTGTGGCGAAACGTTTCCTCATTAAAGATACCCAAGTGTTGCACGTGTGTCTAATTTATTAACTTGTCGGTTCTCTGACCCATTTATAGACAAAAATCAACTATGATAACTACTACTTTGTACTAGATGTCCCAACCTCTCCCCAACACCCTAGCATTCACTTCTCTTACAACCCCATCTACTTTTACTGGAAAATAATCTTCTTCTCTCCTACGTACCTTAACATGAGTCTCACTATTCTTGTAAAAACTTTCAACTGTTATCAGTAACCTACCACCTATTCCATACACTTGCAGCATCTGCTACATTGCTCCCCTATCCACCATATCATATTTTTTTTTTTTTCAACAAGCTGGCCATCTCCCACCAAGGCAGGGTGACCCAAAAAGAAAATACTTTCATCATTCAACACTTTCACCTCACTCATACATAATCACTGTCTTTGCAGAGGCACTCAGATACGACAGTTTAGAAGTCGCTCCAAACTGTCAATATCCCAGACCCCTCCTTGAAAGTGCAGGCATTCTACTTCCCATTTCCAGAACTCAAGTCCAGCTAAATCTATAATAACCAGTTTCCCTGAATCCCTTCACTAATTATTATCCTGATCACACTCCAACAGCTCGTCAAGTCCCAAAAACCAATCGTCTCAATTTACTCCTATCTAACACTCACACACACACACACACACACACTTGCTGGAAGTCCAAGCCCACAAAACCTCCTTCACCCCCTCCCTCCAACCTTTTCGAGGACAACCCCTACCCCTCCTTCCTTCCCCTACAGATTTATACACTCTCCAAGTCATTCTGCTTTGATTCTCTCTAAATGACCAAATCACCTCAACAACCCCTCTTCAGCCATCTGACTAATACTTTTAGTAACTCCACACCTGCTCCTAATTTCCACATTCCGAACTATCTGCATAATATTTACACCACACATTGCCCTTAGACAGGATATCTCCACAGCCTCCAGCCGCCTCCTCGCTGCAGCATTTACAACCCAAGCTTCACACTCATAAAATTGGTGGTACCACTATACTTTCGTACATTCTCTTGTTTGCCTCCATAGATAACGTTTTTTGTCTCCACAGATACCTCGACGCACCACTCACCTTTTTTCCTTCATCAATTCTGTGGTTAACCTTGTCCTTCATAAACCCATCCGCTGACAAGTCAACTCCCAAATATCTGGAAACATTCACTTTTTCCATACTCCCTCTCTCCAATGTGATATACAACTTTTCTTTACCTAAATCATTTGATACCCTCATCACCTTAATCTTATCTATGTTCTCTTTCAACTTTGTACCTTTACACACCCTCCCAAACTAGTCTACTAACCTTTGCAACTTTTCTCTAGAATTTCCCAAAAGCACAGTATCATCAGCAAAAAGTAACTGTGTCAACTCCCATTTTGCACTTGCTTCCCCATAATTTAATCCCACTCCTCTCCCCAACACCCTAGCATTTACTTCTTTTACAACTCCATCTATAAATATATTAAACAACCATGGTGACATTACACATCCCTGTCTAAGACCTACTTTTACCGGGAAGTAATCTCCTTCTCTCCTACACACCCTAACATGAGCCTCACTATCCTTATAAAAACTTTTTACACCATTTAGTACCTTACTACCTATTCTATGCACTTGCAACATCTGCCACATTGCTCCCCTATCCACTCTATCATTTTCTTTTTTTTTTTTAAACATCAGCCAATTCCCACCAAAGCAGAGTGGCCTGAAAAAGAAAAACTTTCATCATTCACTTCATCACTGTCTTGCCAGAGGGATGCTTTACACTACAGTTATAAAACAGCAACATTAACACTCCCTCCTTCAGAGTGCAGGCACTGTACTTTCCATCTCCAGGACTCAAGTCCAGCCTGCCGGTTTCCCTGAATCCCTTCATAAATGTTATTTTGCTCACACTCCAACAGCATGTCAATTATTAAAAACCATTTGTCTCCATTCACTCCCATCAAATACGCTCAAGCATGCTTGCTGGAAGTCCAAACCCCTCGCACACAAAACCTCCTTTACCCCCACCCTCCAACCTTTCCTAGGTCAACCCTACCCCGCCTTCTCTCCACTACAGATTTATACATTCTCGAAGTCATTCTGTTTTGTTCCATTCTCTCCACCTGTCCGAACCACCTCAACAACCCCTCCTCAGCCCTCTAGATAATAGTTTTCATAATCCCACACCTTCTCCTAATTTCCAAACTATGAATTCTCTGCAATATATTCACACTACACATTGCCCTCAGACATGACATCTCCACTGCCTCCAGCCTCATCCCCATTGCAACATTCATCACCCATGCTTCACACCCATACAAGAGTGTTGGTACAACTATATTCTCAGACATTCCCTTCTTTGCTTTCATGGACAAAGTTCTTTGTCTCCACAGACTCCTAAGTGCACCACTCACCCTTTTCCTCTTACCAGTTCTATGATTCACCTCATCCTTCATAGACCCATCTGCTGACACGTCCATTCCTAAATATCTGAATACATTCACTTCCTCCATACTCTCTCCCTCCAGTCTGATATCCAATCTTTCGTCATCTAATCTTTTTATCATCATCACCTTAATGCTTCCTATATTCACTTTTAATTTTCTTTTTTTACATACCCTGCCAAATTCATCCACCAACTTCTGCAACTTTTCTTTAGAATCTCCCAAAAGCAGTGTCATCAGCAAAGAGCAACTGTGACAACTCCCACTTTGTGTCTGATTGTGTATCTTTTAACTCCACACCTCTTGCCAAGAGGTGTGGAGTTAAAAAATAAAGAATATGCCTTTTCTAAATCTATAAATGCAATGAAGACTTCCCTACCTTTATCTAAATACTGTTTACATATATGCTTCAATGTAAACACTTGAGCTACACATCCCCTACCCACTTTAAACCCTCCTTGCTCATCTGCAATCCTACTCTCTGTCTTACCTCCAATTCTTTCAATTATAACCCTAGCATACACTTTACCTGGTATACTCAATAAACTTATTCCCCTATAATTTTTACAATCTCTTTTGTACCCCTTCCCCTTATATAAAGGAACTATACATGCTCTCTGCCAATCCCTAGGTACTGTCCCCTCTTTCATACATTTATTAAAACATACCAACCACTCCAACACAATCTCCCCCCCTTCTTTTAACATTTCTGTCATGATCCTGTCAGTTCCAGCTGCTTTACTCCCTTTCATTCTATGTAATGCCTCATGCACCTCCCCCACACTCACATCCTGCTCTTCTTCACTCCTAAAAGATGTTATACCTCCCTGACCAGTGCGCGAAATTACCGCCTCTCTTTCTTCATCGACATTCAAAAGTTCCTCAAAATATTCCCTCCATCTACCCAATACCTCCAGCTCCCTATCTACTAACTCCCCAACTCTGTTGTTAACTAACAAATCCATTCGTTCCCTAGGCTTTCTTATCTTGTTTATGTCACTCCAAAATTTTTTCTTATTTTCATTAAAATTTCTTGCCAGTGCTTCTCCCACTCTTTCATCTGCTCTCCTTTTGCACTCTCACCATTCTCTTCATCTTTCTTTTACTCTCCATATACTCTGCTCTTCTTACAACACTTCTGTTTTGTAAAAACCTCTCATAAGCTACCTTTTTCTCTTATATCACACCCTTTACTTCATTCCACCAATCACTCCTCTTTCCTCCTGCACCCACCCTCCTATAGCCACAAACTTCTGCCCCACATTCTAATACTGCATTTTTAAAACTATCCCAAACCTCTTCAACCCCCCACTACTCATAAATGCATTACCCCACTTTTCCGCCAATAGTTGCTTATATCTCACCCGAACTTCCTCCTCCCTTAGTTTATACACTTTCACCTCTCTCTTACTTGCTGTTGCCATTTTCCTTTTGTCCCATCTACCTCTTACTCTAACTGTAACTACAACTAAATAATGATCCGATATATCCGTTGTCCCTCTATAAATGTGTACATCCTGAAGCCTACCCATCAACCTTTTATCCACCAATACATAATCTAACAAACTACTTTCATTACATGCTATATCATACCTTGTATACTTATTTATCCTCTTTTTCATAAAATATGTATTACTGATTACCAAACCTCTTTCTACACAGAGCTCAATTAAAGGCTCCCCATTTTCATTTACCCTTGACACCCCAAATTTACCTACTACTCCCTCCACAACATTTTTACCCACTTTAGCACTGAGATCCCCAACCACACGTACTCTTCACTTGGTTCAAAACTCCCCACACACTCACTCAACATTTCCCAAAATCTCTCTCTCCTTTACACTTCTCTCTTCTCCAGGTGCATAAACACTTACTATAACCCACTTTTCACATCCAACCCTTATTTTACTCCACATAATCCTTGAATTTATACATTTATATTCCCTGTTTTCCTGCCATAGCTTATCCTTCAACATTATTGCTACTCCTTCTTTAGCTCTAACTCTATTTGAAACCCCTGACCTAATTCCATTTATTTTTCCCCACTGAAACTCTCCTACCCCCTTCAGCTTTGTTTCACTTAAAGCCAGGACATCCAGCTTCTTCTCATTCATAACATCCACAACCATCTCTTCCTTATCATTTGTACAACATCCTCACACATTCAAACATCCTACCTTGACGGTTTTCTTCTTTTTCTTTTTAGCAGGGTATACAGGAAAAGGGGTTAGTATCCCATTGCTCCTGGCATTTTACAACATGCATGGCTTACAGAGTTAAGATTCGTATTCCATTTCCCCATGGATATGAAATGAAAAGCACTAAGAACAAGAACTATTACGATAAAATCAAAGAAAACTCAGATGAATGTGTATACATAAATGTGTACATGTGCATGTAGTGTGACCTAAGAGTAAGTAAAAGTAGCAAGATGTGCCTGAAATCTTGTATGTTTATGAGACAGAAAAATAGACACCAGCAATCCTACCATCATGTAAAACAATTACAGGTTTCCATTTTACACCCACTTGGCAGGATGTTAGTACCTCCCTGAGTGGTTGCTGTCTACCAACCTACTACCTTCTAAAAAGATAGTGTTTGACCCAGTGACCATCAGGGCCCCAGAGCTGGATTTTGCAGTGTGGCTGTGTACCTTCCTATCATATGTTTTTTCTAAATCCATGAATGCAATGAAAATTTCCTGATCTTATCTAAATAGTGTTCATTTGTATGCTTCACTGTAAACACTTGGTTTGCACATTCCCTACCCTTCCCAAAGCCTCCCTGCTCATCTGTGATTCTGCTCTCTGTCTTGCCCTTATTTCTTTCAATAATAACTTTTCCATACACTTTACCTGGTATATTCAACAGGCTTATTCCCCTATATTAATGGTAAACAACAACAACAAGTAGATGAGTAAGACATGTGCAACATTTGGGTTTCTTTATTGTTGAAATGTTTCACCTGCTCTTCCAGCAAGACTATGGAGTTGAACACTTCTTAAGACAGAGGGACTGTTCACCTTATTTTTGCCTCTTTGCTGATGTTACTGTCACCAATATTTAGTTACCTCTGTATTTGGCTTAAGTAGACTATGGCACATGCAAAATGTTTCAACAATAAAGATATCCAAATGATGCAGGTGGATCTTACTCATTTATTATAATCTTTGTTTATCAAAAATATACATTTTTTTTCAACAAACCAGCAGTATCCCACCAAGGTAGGGTGGCCCAAAAAGAAAAACACAAGTTTCTCTTTTTAAATTTAGTAATTTTTACAAGAGAAGGGGTTACTAGCCCCTTGCTCCCGGCATTTTAGTCACCTCTTACAACACGCATGGCTTACAGAGGAAGAATTCTGTTCCACCTCCCCATGGAAATAAGAGGAAATAAACAAGAACAAAAACTAGAAAGAAAACTGCAGAAAACCCAGAGGGGTGTGTATATATATGCTTGTACATGTATGTGTAGTGTGACCTAAGTGTAAGTAGAAGTAGCAAGACGTACCTGAAATCTTGCATGCTTATGAGACAGAAAAAAGACACCAGCAATCCTACCATCATGTAAAACAATTACAGGTTTCCGTTTTACACTCACTTGGCAGGACGGTAGTACCTCCCTGGGTGGTTGCTGTCTACTGTAGATGTGTTGTTTGCTTTATACAACCCAGGTCTCAAATTATCTTTTTTCCTTAAGTAATATAAAATGCTGTATATAAGTTATATGAATGATCAAGTCAGTCACTTTATCTTTGCTCTCAAAATTTCAAATACATTATTAAAGTTACAGATATGATGGAATCAGTCACATTACCTTTGTGTTGGAGTGAGCAAAGTTGCATTGTACTCTTGTAATAGGAACCTTGGTGGAACATCATTGATGTCAGTAATGGTAATTGCAACTGAAGCTGTAGTAGATGCCGACAACCTGGGTTGACCATTATCATGCACTTTCACACTGAATCTAACCTTAGCCACCACCTCGTGATCTAAGGGGCCAACAGTTCTTATAGCACCTGAAAGAAAAGTAAACCATGCAATTAAAAAACTAAATAAAACTAAATAAATGATAAGTTTCACTAAGAAGGAACTTAGTCATCAAAGGAAAGAGCATAATGGTAATAGGCATGAGAATTCTTGGTAAGACACTTCAAGACAATGTGAACAAAGGTTAAAACTGTTGAGACACTGACAGAATACCATGTTACATGTAATATACTGTAGTGAAAATAAATGATAAGGAGAGGAATATTACAATCCAGAGTTTTATAGTAAACTGTAAATTATAAGAAGTGTTCAAAACACTACACTTTTTTCATTTAGTTTAATTCATTAATTAACAGACATTTCTTTACCCCTTTCACTGTCTCCTACATAGGTCTACGTTATTGACACCAGCATTGTGTAGATCTAGGTTTTAAGCATGACCCTTTCAAGTATGCTGGCCTAGACTTAAGAGAATGGGTTTACACAGTGAGTGCATGGTATGAACAAAAAATCTCGTCCATGATGTGCATGGTGGGAAAAGCACACCTCTGACCTTGTGTCTGGTTTAACCTTTTCAGGGTTAGTGCCGTACTAATACAGCTTACATGCCAGGGTTGGTGTCTGGTTGGTGTTGTAGTAGAACGCGTAAATTCTAGCACCTTCAGATTGAATGGGAGAGAGCTGATAGGCCTGCATGTGATAGAATGGGTCTATGTGGTAAGTGTGTGCAGTAGAAAAAATCTATGCACCCGCATTGCATTGTGGTAGTGGTAATTCAATGCACCTTTGTCACCAAGCCAAGCAGTAGGGAATACCTCACTCTCTCTGGCAGTGTGGATGGTGGGGAAGGAAGTGTGGGTGGTAGGGAAGGGAGTGTGGGTTTGTGTAAACAACATGGCTGGCTGACTGGCTAACTGGCTGGCTGGCTGGCTGGCTGGCTGGCTAACTGGCTGGCCGGCTGGTGGTCTGTCTGTCTGTCTTTGTCTCACAGGTACATGTAAATGCAATTATAAATAGTGTAAATTACCTAGGATAACCTAAAAAATCCAGACTGGCAAATAATACGTATCAGGACTCAGATGTGACACAGTGACCACTGCGTCGTGTGTAATACATGTTGGTTCACTAGTGACTCTCTGAGACAGAGAGACAGAAAGAGAGACAAGCAGACAGACAGACAGACATGTTTATGTGTAAAGTGAAAACAAATAAAGTGAAGGCAGTCTACCCTCATCAAATGTCACCACTGTCATTAGTGGAGTGATGAGTGACACACACACATCTTACACAATGCTTCAATTATTATAATAATTATTATTATTATTATTACATGCTCCTGTGTATCCTAGGTAATTTACACTATGTATAACTGTATTTATGTGTACCTGTGAGACAGAGCCAGCCAACCAGCTGGCCAGCCAGCCATGTTGTTTACACAAATCCACGCTCCCTTCTCCACCAAAACATTGCTGGGGCCTATAAATACTATGTACAGTATATATTTCTAGACAATAGTATGTGACTAAAATAGGTGAAAATGTTCACGTGTTAATGTTTGTGCAGTTATTGTGTAGAATACGAGTGTATATATCCAAAATATGGCTTATATTGGTCTCATAGGCCATAAAAGTTACTTGAAAAAATAAAATGTTAAAAAATAAAAGAAAAAAAGTGGGAAAAAAAAATTACCGTGTGACTGGCAGTCGGCGATGTTGCTGTAAGCGGCTCGCTTTCTGTCAACTTCATGCCTCCATATCTCAGTAAGTATTGATCACAATTTTTTTTTTTGGCCTATATCACTCACAAAAATATGCTCTATCATCTCATAAGATTCTTTTTTTTTTTTTTTTCCGAAAAATTTTCAACCCTGAGAACAAGTTTGGGAGAGGGTCTGTTGACCCTGAAAGGGTTAAAACAGAGAGATTGAAGTGTTTTCTAAGTTGGTTTTTATAGTTTTATTGGCTGTTTGTTGGTATCAGATAATAGAATGGAAGACATATTACTGAAATAGAGATGGTTTTGGTTAGTTTTAGAACTGGAAGTAGTTTGTGGTCAGGCTCAAATAGTGGAAATATTTGTTTTTTGACAATTTTCATGAGGATGGTCAATACCTCCCCTACCCCTACCCCAAATCTGTTTTATTCTTATTCTTTTTTTTAACATGTTGGCCATTTCCCACTGAGGCAGGCTGACCCAAAAAGAAAGAAAAAACTTTCATCATTCAACACTTTCACCATCACTCATGCATAATCACTGTCTTTGCAGAGGTGCTCAGAAACAACAGCCTAGATGTCCCTCCAAACTGCCAATATCCCAAACCCCTCCTTTCAAGTGCAGGCATTGTACTACCCATTTCCAGTGTTTTACTAGGTCTAATTAAACCATACCCCTGGCCGGGATTGAACCCGCGGTCATAGAGTTTGCAATCGTGTCATTACGATTTCTTGAGTCGAGTTAGGTCTAATTAAATTATTGGGATGCCCTCAATCAACCATGACCAATTATTCCTGGTTCCCTTTTATTATCCAAGAAACACGGTGTGTAATATAGGAGAGGTGTGGATGTGATTAATGAACAGAGACAATGCTGGTTATTGTCTGGAATGGTTACAGTGTTAATTTTTTATTCGGTTTTTAAACTGGAAACTTTTTACATTTGTGTAAAATTGGCCAAATTATAGAAATGTGTGTACTTTAAAGGATAGTTCTCATGGTTGATTGAGTGGTTTCTTGTTCTCAGTCAATAAAATAGAAGGCATGTTAGTCAAGTAGCTAAAAAATTTGTCAATTTGAGCAGTGGAATTGGCTTAAAGCAAGATTCAAAGTGGGTGAAATCACTGATGCATAAACTGTGTCTAAACCATCAACTTTGTGACTGTGTAATTGCACATGTTTTTCATCAAATTTTGTGTTTTTGGTGTCATTATCTTTACAAAAAAATTCTATCATTTCAGAAGAATTTTCTTTTTTGAAATTGCTGACACTGTCAGCACTTTTAATTTCTGGGCCTTCAATATGAAGTACTCTTCATCCAAGGAATCTGAGCAACTCTATCCTTTAATCAGATTTGATTATAATAATAGCCATTTCTCAGGCCCTGTATGACCACTACAATGTTAATGAATTGCCACAAATATTTAATAATAATAATCAAATGAGGAGCAACTTCCTGTACATATTATAATCACACACTAATGTATAAAATATTTATTATTTAGATTTTTTTGTTAAATATTTAATCTATAAAATATTTCATAGTCAAGTATAATTCTCCCCTACATCATGTGTTTTAATGTACGGTACAAGTGCAAGAATTTGTTTATATCTGCAGCAGTCTTCAGAGTATGTCATGGATGGAGACAAGAAACAGTAACACTTCTAAAAAGTAGTATAATTATGTATCTGTTTATCTAAACTCAAAGATGCATTTATTCAAAACAGAAAACAGGAAAACCTCTTGAAACTTGCTAATTTATATTGAGCACCTAGTTCCTTTATCATAAGCAGAAATGAAGGTTAATAGTTTAAGTACAGAGAATGAATAGTAAAAATTACAAATAATATAATAACCCATAACAATTTGAGAACATAAATGCTTTTGTTGACTGTCAAAAAACTAATACATTAATGAAAAAATTTATACTATTAGTTCTATGCAAATACTGTTCATATCAATTTGTCTTGTGAAGTTTATTACTACTTTTATTGACTTAATCAACTGAACTTTGTTGCTTGGGTGTCATTCCCTGGACCCTTTATTTAGAATCTTTTTTAAAGTTGGAGTCTTGTGTTTACTCTCTGCAAAAAATGTTGAAACAAGGGTAAAATAATGTATAAGGATATAAAAATAAGTTTTATACAATGTACATTATAAATATATACATAAAGTACCTGTTGAAGAATCAATTGTGAAATACATTCTTGCTTCTTCTTCCAGTATGGTAAAGACTAAATTAGAATTCTGGTCAGAATCTTTGTCCCGTGCAGAGATTACCAATGGACTGTTGTCTTCCATGAGCACGACAGAATTCACAGCAGCAGCTTCAGATATGTGGCCACTATAAGAGCTTTGGGTAAAGTATGGGGGGTTGTCGTTCTCATCTCGAATGTTTATTATCAGTTGAGCAGTGGCTTCTTGTCCATTCTGGAAATAAGTAGAAAGTAAATAAATTATATTGTTGTGAAGCTGACTAAGGTATCTCCAGCCCTCAATAAACTCTACCATGTATCTCAGTATATCTCAAAAGAGAAAAAAAAATTAGGAAATAACTTTACATTGACTTAGTCTCCCTCACTCCTTCTTATCTCTTTCAAAACATCAGAAAAATAATAAGTAAAACTGACATATATTTTAATTTTTATTTTTTAACACACTGGCCATCTCCCACCAGGGCAAGGTGACTGCCTCAGAAAAAGAAACACTTTCACTATCATTCACAATATCACTGTCTTTGCAGTGGCACACAGTTACAACAGTTTAGATGTCACTTTAAACAGCAAATATCCCAAATCCCTCCTTTAAAATGCAGGCATTGTACTTCCCATCTCCAGGACTCAAGTCCGACTAACTGGTATTCCTGAATTTCTTCACAAAATATTACCCTGCTCACACTCCAACAGCTCATCAGGTCTCAAAAACCATTCATCTCCATTCACTCCTATCTAACACATTCACATGTCTGCTGCATGGCAAGGCCCCTGGCACACAAAATCTCTTTTAATCCCCCTTCCATCCTTTCCTAGAATGACCCCTGCCTCTTCTCCCCTCCAAGTCATTCTATTTTGCTCCATACTCTTTAAATGACCAAACCACATCACCAACCCTTCTTCAGCCCTCTAACTAACTTTTAGTAACTCCACACCTCCTAATTAACACACTACGAATTTTCTATATAATATTTACACCACACACTGCCCTTAGCCCTTTCAGGGTTTCCAACATACTAGTACAGCTTACGCACCAGGGTTATTGACGTACCAGTACGCCTAAATTCTAGCGCCTTCAAATCTAGCGCCTTCAAATCTAGTGAGAGAAAGCTGGTAGGCCTACATATGAAAGAATGGGTCTATGTGGTCAGTGTGCACAGTATAAAAAAAATACTGCAGCACACAGTGCATAATGAGAAAAAAATGTGTGTTTTTGGTTTAACCCTTAGACTGTTTTGGTTGTATATATACATCTTACGAGGTACCGTGTTTGACGTATATATACTCATAAATTCTAGTGGCTTCAAATCAAGCAGGAGAAAGCTGGTAGGCTCACATGTGAGAGAATGGGTCTGTGTGGTCAGTGTGCACCATATAAAAAAAATCCTGGAGCACGCAGTGCATAATGAGAAAAAAAACTCCGACCGTTTTTTTTAATTAAAATGCCGAGTTTGTGGTCTATTTTCATATAGTATTTATGGATGTATTCTCGTTTTCTTGGTCTCATTTAATAGAATGGAAAACATATTATAGAAATAGATGTGATTTTGATTGGTTTTGCTTTAAAAAGAACCTGGAAATTGAGCTCAAAGTAGGGGAAATGTTTGATTTTTGCCGATGTTCAAAAGTAAACAAATGTTGTCATTGTCCAATAAATGTCCAACTAGCCATTCTAATATACAGTCATGAATGGGTTGAGATTATTTGTACAATTATTACAATATTGCAGTAGTCTGCATAACAGTAAATCTTCTACTTTTTATTTGAATAAAAATTCAAAATAGAAAGCAAGAGTAATATCAGAGGGGCCTGGAGACATGACTGATGAGCAAAGAAAATGTTATTTTAGAGCCAGGAATGTCTGCATTGTTCATTCTGGACCTTATTTTGAAATTGTCAATTTTTTTAATTTTCGTGAAATTGGCCAAATTGCAAATTTCTGACCATGTTACTGGGGAGTTGAAATCAGTAAATGGGCAGTTTCTTGTACTCAATCGATAGAAAAAATGAAGTTCTAAAGAAATAGATATGAGTTTGGTTGACTGGAACAATGGGATTAGCCGAAAATAGGGCGCAAAGTGGGCAAAATCGCCGATTTGTAAATAACGCCGAGGTCGCTAACTTTGCGAGAGCGTAAGTCCATCAAATTTCGTGTTTTTGGTGTCATTACAATCGGGAAAAGATTCTCTATCATTTCATAAGAAAAAATAATTTTTTTTTTTTTTTTTTTTAAATTTTGCGACACCAGGAGACACCTCAGGATTGGGGGTTGCGACAGTCAAGGGGTTAAAACAGCGACTTTGCACTGCATTTTCGTATGGTATTTATGGTTGCATTCTAGTTTTACTGGCCTCATTTTATAGAATGGAAGACATATTACATAAACTGAGATGATTTTGATTGGTTTCACAATGAAAAGTACAGTGGACCCCCGCATAACGATCACCTCCGAATGCGACCAATTATGTAAGTGTATTTATGTAAGTGCGTTTGTATGTGTATGTTTGGGGGTCTGAAATGGACTAATCTACTTCACAATATTCCTTATGGGAACAAATTCGGTCAGTACTGGCACCTGAACATACTTCTGGAGTGAAAAAATATCGTTAACCGGGGTCCACTGTACTTTGAAATTGAGCTCAGAGTAGCAGAAATGTTCGATTTTTGCCAAAGTTCGAAAGTAAAGAAATCATGCCACGCATCCAATACACATCAACTGGTGAGTCTAATATTCTTTCACAAGTGTGCCGATATTATTTATACCATTTCTACACATTTCTGCATAACAGTAAATCTTCTATTTTTTGTGAGAATAAAAATTCAAAGTGGAAAGCAAAACAAATGTAAGAGGGGCCTGAGGATGTGACTAATGAATAGAGGAAATGTTATTGCCAGGAATGTCTGTCTTGTTCATTATGGACCCTATTTGGAAATTGGCATCTTTTGAAATTTGTGTGAAATTGGCAAAATTGCTAATTTCTGACCACTTTATCGGATAGTCAAAATCAGTAAATAGGTGGTTTCTTGTACTCATTGGATAGAAAAAAATGGAGTTTTAGTGAAGTAGTTATGATTTTTGTCAACTAGTACACTGGAATTGGCCAAAAATAGGGCTCAAAGTCGGTGAAATCGCCGATGCGTAAACATCGTCGAGACCGCTAACTTCACAAGAGCATAATTCCGTAAGTTTTCCATCAAATTTCATACTTTTGGTGTCATTATGATCAGAAAAAGATTCTCTATCTTTTCATAAGCAATTTTTTTTTCCGAAAAATTTTCGACCCTGAGAACAAGTTTAGGAGAGGGCCTCTCGACCCTGAAAGGGTTAGACATGACATCTCCACTGCCTCCAGCCTCCTCCTCGCTGCAGCATTTGCAACCCATGCTTCACACCCATATGAGAGTGTTGGTACCACTATACATACTCTTGTACATTCCCTTCTTTGCCTCTATGGATAACGTTTTTTTGTTTCCACAGATACCTCATATGTATGTCATATCCACTCTATTTTTTAGAAGTTTTGAAAAAGTTAAATGATTCTGATGTGAAGAATATCCAGGCTAAAACTTAAAAAAAAAAAATGACTGAAAATATAAAAAGAGTACCAAAAATTCCAAAATATTTGTGACAAGCAGAAAAATATTCAGGCCAAACAGTGGTCTGAGACTGGGCTGCAGGGAGCAAAAATGTTCTGAACCAATAAGAGGTAACTTCATAAACATAAGAATACAGAAGCTTGCTTGCTCATGCTAGGCAGGTTCAACTCAGACCCAGCTATTACCTAAGAATATATGAATAAAGAAGCACTGCATGTGTAGAGGGTCCATGTTTGTGTGGGAGAGACTGAAAAAGTGCAGTAGATTATGTACTCACGAAATCACAATAACACAATAACAAACAAATCATAGAATGAATGGAATCTGAACCCAAGGCAAGTGGTTAACACACTGGCCTGTAAGTTTTAGGACTCACTAGCGATGGGTTTAAACCCCACCTGCTCTGTGATTAGATTATATAATTATGATTTTGTTAATTTAAGTTATAATATTTTCTCATTTTGTGCTAAAAAAATTCTCATTTTCTTAACAAATGCACTGATAGTTTGTATGTCCATTTCATACATGTGTAAACAGTTCTTGTTTGTTTAGTGGAGACTGGTAAATAAGTGAAAATTTATTATTTCTGACCAGTACCTGTCAGTTGTTGGCAGGTTAGCAGAGAGGGGGATAGCTGAATGACAGGGAGGTAGGGTGGGGAAGGTTCTAGGGAGCTTGGTGAGGAGGCAGTGCTAGGGAGCTTGGTAGGGAGGTCTAACCCTGGGCTGGTGGCTCTGGGGTAATAAAGATTGTTGGGGGACCAAAAACTGATTCATCTTGCTGAATTCTCACACAACTTGCCCTCCCTTCACATGCAATTACCTTCACCTCTCCTTTCCCCATACCATATGCTATATGCCCTGACACCTAATACAGTATTCTATGCAACTATGATTTGCATTTCATGTTAACTGTTTGAAAAGAGGAATGCAGTGCAGGTTACCCTCCCTCTGCAAATTCACTCTTATGCGATGACTTTTATCTAACAGTAATTTTGTATATATGATGTACACTAACCGTATTTGATTGATGCAGTTCACAAAATGTATTGGAGATTCTTTTTTTTCTTTTTTCAACAAACCGGCCATATCCCATCGAAGCAGGGTGGCCCAAAAAGAAAAACAAAAATTTCTCTTTTCAACTTTAGTAATGTACACAGGATAAGGGGTTACTAGCCCCTTGCTCCTGGCATTTTAGTCGCCTCTTACATCACATATGGCTTATGGAGGAAGAATTCTGTTCCACTTCCCCATGGAGAATTCTTATTTTGGGGAATTAAGTGTTTATAGCCTCAATGAGCTTCATGTAGCTGCCATGAGCCTGGAATGTAGCTACAGCATACAATACACAGCTGTGAAATATTATTTATTGTTGAGGATATGAACAGTGGCTCAATTGGGCAGTGATCAGATGACTCAAGAAATCGTAATGACACGATTGCAAACAAACCATACCCCCGGCCGGGATTGAACCCGAGGTCATAGTATGGTTTGTTTGCAATCGTGTCATTACGATTTCTTGAGTCATGTTGACGGCAGTGAAGGGACTTGAGCTAGAGTTCGTCACGGCCATGCTAGCTGGAGATTCGTCTGTAAAAACTTGCATTTGTGGTCACAGTGGTGCCTGTGCTAACCTTCCTATGGTGTAGAAATATACCTAGTTGGATGAATCTTTTTGTGGCTAGCTGGTCTAGTGGCTAACGCGACGGGCTGGAGTTTTGAGACTCTATGACCTCGGGTTCAATCCCGGCCGGGGGTATGGTTTATGGAGTGATTAGATGTTGTAAGCAAACTGAGGGAAGTGGGTTCTGCAAGTGACACTACTGGATATCAAGTTTATTTCTATATTTAAGATGGAATATGGTTATTAAGTATGGTTTTTGCCTATGATGCATGCACCATAGACACAGAAATCCAGCATGTGGTAGGCCCATAACATTTAAGAATTTCAACCCCTAAAAGGTATCATCAGTGAATAAGCAGACCCCTTATTTTTTTGCCTAAACATTTGGACTTTAAACTTAGATCTACACAGAAGCATGTATGGTAAGACATGATGCAAGTGCAAAAAACATACCATAGATGATGCCAAGACAGTAAAGTTGTATGATTGAACTTCTTCAAAATCCACAGGCGTGTCTAAAGAAACCATGCCAGAAGCTGGGTTTATAGCAAAGGGATTGCGGCGTGATTCACCTATGAAAGAAAAGACAACGCCCAGGCGACTTTCAGCTTCGAGAATTCCAAGATAATCCCCCATATGGGCTGCTTCACTAACTTCAAAGACATACACTTTCTTCAAAAACCTGTAAATGTATGTAAATGTAAATAATTTTGACACTTTCACAATGGCAAGAAAATAAAGGATTAGAAAACCACTACTTAAAAAAGATATGATATAGAACCAGTATCATTACACCACATATGGCTTGTTCAAACAGGTCGTATGATACAGAAATATGATACCCTTTCTTTGATTTGTTATAGTAGTTTTCTATGAAATATAAATAAATATATTTTGCGTATGTTCGAGTACCTATTTATAATTAGTGAAAACAGTAACTTTATATCCAGCACTATAATAACTATAAATTCCAGGTATTCAAGTCTCCTAATTAGAAAAGATAAAGAAATTAAATTAAAATTAAATACTTCAGGGAGAATTGGGATAGTTACTTGTATTGATATTTTTTTTTTATTATCACACTGGCCGATTCCCACCAAGGCAGGGTGGCCCGAAAAAGAAAAACTTTCACCATCATTCACTCCATCACTGTCTTGCCAGAAGGGTGCTTTACACTACAGTTTTTAAACTGCAACATTAACACCCCTCCTTCAGAGTGCAGGCACTGTACTTCCCATCTCCAGGACTCAAGTCCGGCCTGCCGGTTTCCCTGAACCCCTTCATAAATGTTACTTTGCTCACACTCCAACAGCACGTCAAGTATTAAAAACCATTTGTCTCCATTCACTCCTATCAAACATGCTCACGCATGCCTGCTGGAAGTCCAAGCCCCTCGCACACAAAACCTCCTTTACCCCCTCCCTCCAACCTTTCCTAGGCCAACCCCTACCCCGCCTTCCTTCCACTACAGACTGATACACTCTTGAAGTCATTCTGTTTCTCTCCATTCTCTCTACATGTCCGAACCACCTCAACAACCCTTCCTCAGCCCTCTGGACAACAGTTTTGGTAATCCCGCACCTCCTCCTAACTTCCAAACTACGAATTCTCTGCATTATATTCACACCACACATTGCCCTCAGACATGACATCTCCACTGCCTCCAGCCTTCTCCTCGCTGCAACATTCATCACCCATGCTTCACACCCATATAAGAGCGTTGGTAAAACTATACTCTCATACATTCCCCTCTTTGCCTCCAAGGACAAAGTTCTTTGTCTACACAGACTCTTAAGTGCACCACTCACTCTTTTCCCCTCATCAATTCTATGATTCACCTCATCTTTCATAGACCCATCCGCTGACACGTCCACTCCCAAATATCTGAATACATTCACCTCCTCCATACTCTCTCCCTCCAATCTGATATTCAATCTTTCATCACCTAATCTTTTTATCCTCATAACCTTACTCTTTCCTGTATTCACCTTCAATTTTCTTCTTTTGCACACCCTACCAAATTCATCCACCAATCTCTGCAACTTCTCCTCAGAATCTCCCAAGAGCACACAGTCATCAGCAAAGAGCAGCTGTGACAACTCCCACTTTGTGTGTGATTCTTTATCTTTTAACTCCACGCCTCTTGTCAAGACCCTCGCATTTACTTCTCTTACAACCCCATCTATAAATATATTAAACAACCACGGTGACATCACACATCCTTGTCTAAGGCCTACTTTTACTGGGAAAAAATTTCCCTCTTTCCTACATACTCTAACTTGAGCCTCACTATCCTCGTAAAAACTCTTCACTGCTTTCAGTAACCTACCTCCTACACCATACACTTGCAACATCTGCCACATTGCCCCCCTATCCACCCTGTCATACGCCTTTTCCAAATCCATAAATGCCACAAAGACCTCTTTAGCCTTATCTAAATACTGTTCACTTATATGTTTCACTGTAAGCACCTGGTCCACACACCCCCTACCTTTCCTAAAGCCTCCTTGTTCATCTGCTATCCCATTCTCCATCTTACTCTTAATTCTTTCAATAATAACTCTACCATACACTTTACCAGGTATACTCAGCAGACTTATCCCCCTATAATTTTTGCACTCTCTTTTATCCCCTTTGCCTTTATACAAAGGAACTATGCATGCTCTCTGCCAATCCCTAGGTACCTTACCCTTTTCCATACATTTATTAAATAATTGCACCAACCACTCCAAAACTAAATCCCCACCTGCTTCTAACATTTCTATCTTTATCCCATCAATCCCGGCTGCCTTACCCCCTTTCATTTTACCTACTGCCTCACGAACTTCCCCCACACTCACAACTGGCTCTTCCTCACTCCTACAAGATGTTATTCCTCCCTGTCCTATACATGAAATCACAGCTTCCCTATCTTCATCAACATTTACCAATTCCTCAAAATATTCCCTCCATCTTCCCAATACCTCCAACTCTCCATTTAATAACTCTCCTCTCCTATTTTTAACTGACAAATCCATTTGTTCTCTAGGCTTTTTAACTTGTTAATCTCACTCCAAAACTTTTTCTTATTTTCAAAAAAATTTGTTGATAACATCTCACCCACTCTCTCATTTGTTCTCTTTTTACATTGCTTCACCACTCTCTTAACCTCTCTCTTTTTCTCCATATACTCTTCCCTCCTTGCATCACTTCTACTTTGTAAAAACTTCTCATATGTTAACTTTTTCTCCCTTACTACTCTCTTTACATCATCATTCCACCAACCGCTCCTCTTCCCTCCCGCACCCACTTTCCTGTAACCACAAACTTCTGCTAACACTACATTTTTAAACCTACCCCATACCTCTTCGACCCCATTGCCTATGCTCTCATTAGCCCATCTATCCTCCAATAGCTGTTTATATCTTACCCTAACTGCCTCCTCTTTTAGTTTATAAACCTTCACCTCTCTCTTCCCTGATACTTCTATTCTCCTTGTATCCCATCTACCTTTTACTCTCAGTGTAGCTACAACTAGAAAGTGATCTGATATATCTGTGGCCCCTCTATAAACATGTACATCCTGAAGTCTACTCAACAGTCTTTTATCTACCAATACATAATCCAACAAACTACTGTCATTTCGCCCTACATCATATCTTGTATACTTATTTATCCTCTTTTTCTTAAAATATGTATTATCTATAACTAAACCCCTTTCTATACAAAGTTCAATCAAAGGGCTCCCATTATCATTTACACCTGGCACCCCAAACTTACCTACCACACCCTCTCTAAAAGTTTCTCCTACTTTAGCATTCAGGTCCCCTACCACAATTACTCTCACTTGGTTCAAAGGCTTCTATACATTCACTTAACATCTCCCAAAATCTCTCTCTCTCCTCTGCATTCCTCTCTTCTCCAGGTGCATACACGCTTATTATGACCCACTTCTCGCATCCAACCTTTACTTTAATCCACATAATTCTTGAATTTGATATTTATTAATAAATATTGTAAATAATAATTCAGTGGACTGTTATCTAAACCCTTGATTATTTGACTTCCATTTTCCAGAAATAACATGCATATCAATAAAACATAATATAATATATATACACCTACCATCGACTTACAACCGAGTTCGCTTCCGAGAAACCGGTCGTAAGTCGAACTTTACTACCGAATATCAACAAAACATTTTTGTAATGAGTTATTTTATTGTTTTATTTTGGTATTTCATGTTTTACTTTACTTTTTATATTGTTAGTACTGTATTTTATACTGTAAGGTTTAGGATAAACACTGTGTACAACACAAATAGTTGTTTTTCCCAGAAATTTGGCATAAAAAACACGGTCGTAAGTCGAGTGGTCGTAAGTCGAGCAGGTCGTAAGTCGGATGGTAGGTGTATATGTATATATTTTTTTAATATGTCGGCTGTCTCCCACCAAGGCAGGGTGACCCAAAAGAAAGAAAAACCCAAAAAGAAAGAAAAAACTTTCATTATTAGTCAACACTTTCACCATCACTCATAGATAATCACTGTCTTTGCAGAGGCACCCAGGTAACAACAGCTTAGATGTGTGTGTGTGTTTATATATATGTGGTGTAAATATTATGCAAATAATTCGGAGTGTGGAAATTAAGAAAAGGTGTGGAGTTAATAAAAGAATTAGTCACAGGGCTGAAGAGGGGTTGTGGAGGCAGTTCTGTCATTTAGAGAGAATGGATCAAAGTAGAATGACATGGAGAGCATATAAATCTGTAGGGGAAGTAAGGCGGGGTAGGGGTCGTCCTCGAAAAGGTTGGAAGGAAGGGGTAAGGGAGGTTTTGTGGGCAAGGGGCTTGGACTTCCAGCAGGCATGCATGAGCGTGTTCGATAGGAGTGAATGGAGACGAATGGTATTTGGGACCTGACGATCTGTTGGAGTGTGAGCAGGGTAATATTTAGTGAAGGGAAACCGGTTATTTTTGTATAGCCGGACTTGAGTCCTAGAAATGGGAAGTACAATGCCTGCACTCTAAAGGAGGGGTTCGGGATATTAGCAGTTTGGAGGGATATGTTGTGTATCTTTATACGTATATGCTTCTAAACTGTTGTGTTCTGAGCATCTCTGCAAAAACAGTAATTTAGATTAGTCTGTTTCAGACCCCCAAAAATACACTTACAAAAGCACTTACATAAATATACTTACATAACTGTTCGAGTTTTGAGCTGTTCGTAACCCGAGTTACCATTGTATATATATATATGCTTGTACAGGCATGAGTAGTGTGGCCTTAATGTAAGTAGCAGTAGCAAGATATACCTGAAATCTTGCATGTATATGAGACAGAAAATAAGACACCAGGAATCCTACCATCATGTAAAACAATTACAGGCTTTCGTTTTACACTCACTTGGCAAGACGGTAGTACCTTCCTGGCCAGTTGCTGTCTATCATCCTACTTCCTAGGATATATATACATGTCTTTTTTTTTTTTTAACACATTGGTCATCTCCCACTGAGGCAAATTATAAAAATTATAAAAATGAACTCCTATACCTTGGAGGAGCACCATTTGCAATCTTCACATGAATGTTAACATTGACGTGAGAATGTCGAGGCGGGGAGCCATTATCACTGCCACGAACAGCCAACCAATATTCTGGCATCTCCTGACGGTCAACAGCTCTTGCTAATGATATAATTCCAGTCTCTGGATCCAAGCTGAACACACCACCAATGTTCCCTAAAAAATAAAAAAAATAGCATAAAATTTTTGCAAAACAGCAAAAAGATTTTTTAATGAAGCAATTGATCACAGATTTTTAACCCTTTGACTGTCATAGCCCCAAATCCTGAGGTGTCTCCTGGTGTTGCAAAATATTTGAAAAAAAAAAAATTTTTTTTTTTTTGAAATGATAGAGAATCTTTTCCCGACGGTAATGACGCCAAAAGTATGAAATTTGTTGGAAAACTTACAGAGTTATGCTCTCATGAAGTTAGCGACCTCAGCGATACAGTGGAACCTCAAATTTCTAACTTAATCTGTTCCAGGAGCTAGTTCTAAATTCAAAATGTTTGAAAGGTGAAGCCCTGCTCTTCCTCATATACATCAATGATCTTCCAAACGTATCTCAACACCTGAACCCCATTCTCTTTGCTGACGACACGACTTATGTCATCTCTCACCCTAATCTTGCCACCCTCAACACCATTGTTTATGAGGAGCTGATCAAAATATCGACTTGGATGACAGCCAATAAACTTACGCTTAACACTGACAAAACCTACTACATTATGTTTGGTAGCAGAGCAGGAGATGCACAAATTAACATTAAGATCGACAACACTCTAATTGCCAGGCATAATGAGGGCAAATTCCTAGGCCTATACCTCGACAACAACATGAACTTCAGCACCCATATCCAACACATAACCAAAAAAGTATCCAAAACGGTTGGGATCCTCTCCAAGATACGATACTACGTGCCGCAAACTGCCCTTCTCACACTATACCATTCACTTATATATCCATACCTCACCTACGCTATATGTGCTTGGGGTTCAACAGCAGCAACACACCTAAAGCCAATAATAACCCAACAAAAAGCCGCAGTAAGAATAATCACTAAATCCCATCCCTGGCAACACACCCCCCCACTCTTCATAGATCTAAACTTACTCCCTGTTCAGTACATCCACACTTACTATTGTGCAATCTACATCTACAGGACCTTAAATTCCAATATTAACCTTGACCTAAAACGCTTTCTTGATAGTTGCGACAGAACCCACAGGCACAATACCAGACACAAACATCTCTATGACATTCCCCGTGTCCGACTAAACCTTTACAAAAATTCAATGTATGTCAAAGGCCCTAAAATCTGGAACACCCTACTTGAAAATTCTAAAACTGCAGACACATTCATCACCTTCAAAACTACCATCAGAAAACATCTTATCTCCCTGATACACCCTGTCAACTAATTACACGAATACCACCTGGTGGTTAACACTTACACTCACTCACCCATTTGACCATAAACAGAAATATCAATCTCAATCTCAAAATAATGAATCTTAACTAGTCATAAGTTGGCCTGTGATACTCCAATACTGAAACTATGTATAGTGCCAAAACAAAAGCATTCACATTGCTAAACTCACAAACTAGTATTTAGTCACTTAGCCATAATACCAACTTACCTCATAATTTTGTAATATTTTAAACTTAAGATTTAATTTAAGTCTGCCCGAAATGCCTAGCCATGCTAGGTGTTCTAGTGGTACACTCTGTAATTATTATTTTACTACATGTAAACAATACAATAACCAAATTCTGTAAACTCAGCATTGTAATCCTTATAGAGAATAAACTTTGAATTTGAATTTGAATAAGAAATAATGGAAATACAATTAATCCATTCCAGAAACCCAAAAATGTTCACAAAAAAATACATTTTATAGATAGTATTACATTATAGTTTTACATACACACAACAAATATAGTGTACAATTATTAATAAATTTAAATAAACATATAAAATAACATTTTTACTTACCTTTATTGAAGATTGGTGATGGCATCTGGAAGATAGGGATGAGGAGAGAAGGAGTTGGGGTTAATGTTTGGAAGGGAAATCCCACTCCATAAGGACTTTAGGTATCAAAGCCCTCTCTGGGATTGCTTCCCTTCTCTGTCTTTTAATGCCACTAGGACCCCTGTCTCACAAAATACCTGTTCACAGTCCTCTGTTTCTGACGCCTCTAAAATTTCCCTAAAATGGGACGTGGTTCTGTCACTGAACTTGTTGCAAAGATGGCTTGTTTCAACTTGCTCAGGGTGGCACTTCTCCACAAACATTTGGACATCATTCCACTTGGTGCAAATCTCCTTAATCTTTAAAGAAGGCACCTCATCCACTCTCTCTTCCTCCTCCTCTGCAGCAAGTACCTGAGCTGTGGTCTGATACTGTTCCAGATGAAGCTCTTCCAGCTCTTCAGTGGTTAGCTCTTCCCTGTGGTCCTCCACCAACTCTTCCATATCCTCGCTACTCACTTCACATCTATTGTGTTTCTCACTTTCTTTAAGACAGGGGTACCACTAGCAAGTTTCTTTGGGCCCATGGAGCTTATTTCACAGTCCCACAAGCACTAAACACAACGAATTAATCGTAAAGTGTTTGAATGAGACCACAGGTTAAGGTTCACTCAAGTATCAACAAAGCCAGACTGGCTCACGGCGCCTGTGCGGGGACACGGACAGAGCGGGCTGGTGGACAGGTCTGGTACCCGGCGGTTCGAAAAAAGGGGCGAGTTCAATAATGGGGACAAGGTTTGAAAAAAGCAGTCAATTTTCGAAGAGTTCAATAAGCGATACATTCGAAATTTGAGGTTCCACTGTATTTACGAATCGGCGATTTTGCCCACTTTGAGCCCTATTTTTGGCTAATTCCATTGTTCCAGTCGACCAAACTCATAGCTATTTCTTTAGAGCTCCATTTGTTCTATCGACTGAGTACAAGAAACTGCCCATTTACCGACTTCAACTACCCAATAAAGTGGTCAGAAATTGGCAATTTGGCCAATTTCACGCAAATTAAAAAAATATGCCAATTTCAAAATAGGGTCCAGAATGAACAATACAGACATTCCTGGATCTAAAATAACATTTTCTTTGTTCATCAGTTACGTCTCCAGGCCCCTCTGATATTACTCTTGCTTTCTATTTTGAATTTTTATTCAAACAAAAAATAGAAGATTTACTGTTATAGAGACTACTGCAATATTGTAATAATTGTATAAATAATGTCAACCCATTCATGACTGCATATTAGAATGGCTAGTTGGACATTTATTGGACAATGACGTCATTTATTTACTCTTGAACATCAGCAAAACTCAAACATTCCCTATCCTGAGCTCCATTTCAAGGTCCTTTTCATAGTAAACCTAATCAACATCATCTCTATTTCTGTAATATGTTTTCCATTCTATCAAATGAGACTAAGAAAATGAGAATACAACCATAAATACTAAATGAAAATACACCTCAAAGTCAGCGTTTTAATCTCGCAATTTTTTTTTTCTCATTATGCACTGTGCTGCAGGATTCTTTTTATACAGTGCACACTGACCACACAGAGCCATTCTCTCACATGTGGGCCTACCAGCTTTCTCCCACTTGATATGAAGCTGCTAGAATTTTTGAGTGTATATACGTCAAACACATTGGCTCTCAAGAGGTATATATACAACTGAAACAGTCAAAGGGTTAAAATAAAAATAACTGATAATTGAATGTTTTTTAATATCTACCGTGTATACACGTGACAAGGATGTAAAACACCAACCAGGTAACTTCACCATGAAATGGGAATAAGTAAAGGCCACTGCTGTATGCCAGTGTATGTTGAAACTCTTCCCTTCCTTGGCTCAAACCTGTATACCACTATGGGCCAGGTGCTGTATGATTATTTCATGTTTTATTTCTTCCCTATTATGTATTATAAAAATATTGTAGGTTCAAAATCCAAAGTCTAAAGGAAACACACAAAAAAAATTATCATCAGATAAAGAGTAAAAATGTAAACCAAAAGGTATAGTGTGTTTTACCCAAGGAGTAGATAACTAAACATGAATCCTTTTTACATACCTGATACAATTGAGTACATTATATGACCATTAGCACCTTTATCACGGTCAATTGCTATTACTTCAGCAACTGTTGTTCCAATTGTTGCAGTTTCTGTAACAGTGCCATTGTAGAGAGTTGCAAGAAACTGTGGGGAATGGTCATTATAGTCTCGTACTTTGATGTTAACACGAGCATAATTACTCTTGGTTGGAGGGATGCCGTCTTTAACTCCTACTGTCAAGATGTGTTCTTCTTGCACTTCCCTGTAAGTAGAATTTTTATTATCCTTTTGAAAATAGCTTGTATATAAGTCTGTTTAATAGACTTTCCCTAAATCTCAGCAAGTACCCTGACAGTCATAAAATCCTTACTGAAAGGAGGAGCAGTAGAAAAAGATTGGTACACCCCTCAGTATATGAGATCAGTTACTTTTACCTTTGATATACCTTTGATGAGTTCCAAGAGTTTTTCTACTCCCAGACCCCAGCCAACCCACATATCCATCACAGCCTGGTTGAGCTGGCACCAGTTACTAAGTAAGTTTATAAAATTGCCATAGCTGGTCAAAGAAGCACATGAGGATAAGATTCACTCTAAGATGAAATCTTTTTTTTGTGCTAAAGTGAGCCACATAGATCAGAAACGTGAGACATGCAGGCCATCTACAGTACAATACATGTAAATCCTAGGTCGGGGAAACAAGGTAAATTACTAAATAACAAAAAAGGCACAATACCGTGACTGGAACGATACACAAATAACAGTGTGACTTTGTCAATGGTCCAAGTTGGACCGAAACGTCGTCGTAAGCTTCTCTCTTTTATATGCGGGTTATTTGTGTAAGGTAAACTACCCCAAATGGGGTAAAAATGAAAATCTCAGGGGTAATGAAGGCTAAATGAACATAAATAAAACTACACAAAAATTTATTATTTAATATGCGAGTCAAATTATAAAAGTTATACTTCTGCCAATAGAGCCTGAAGGACTGGCAGAGGTACTTCTTGAACTTCATTCCAACAATGAGACACATTGAATTTCAGAACAACACAGATCTGTTTTTTTTGGATGTCAAGAGCTGCAAAGGCTTTCTAAATTGTACATGAGAAAGCAGTAAAAGTGCTGCTGCTATTTGCAACTACCTGTCTTTGCAAACAAGAATTTTCCACTCTCATTAACTTAAAAACCAAGTATAGAAAACAGTTGAATGGCAAAAAAGTATCCAAATTGCTCTGACATCAAAAAGCCCTAATTTTAATGTATCAAAAATGAAACATCATTATTTCTCCAAAACCTGAAGTGAAAATGTTTTCAACAAAATTCTTTAGTTCCCTAATGAGATTTTTATTAAATTTGTCTGTTACTATTTTTTATTTGATGCAGTTTATTTTTCATTTTATTATATTGTTAATGTAGTGTTTTATTTTTAAAGTTGCTTTATCACATATAATAAATACTTTTCAGCTTGTATGACTGTATTCTCCATTAATATGGATTCAATAAACTATTTTGAATTTAAATGCTCCATGTGCTTTCCAGATTCTGTGGACTTTTAAAAAAAAAAGTCTAGTGGGGAATTTTGCTATACACAAGTTTAGGGGTAATACCCAAAAAAAAAAAAAAAATTGCCAACCTCTGAATTATAAATAAGCTATAAAAGTATCTCTTCTGTGAATAACTAATAAAGTAAACCTTATGGCATAAAATATTACCTGTCTAATGGTTCATAAAGAACAATGTCACCACTCATTGGGCTGACTCTGAATTTTGCTGCTGAAGAAGTATGGGCAGTATTGATGAGGGTGAATGTTAGATGTTGATCAGAATCTGGGTCTGAGGCAGTGAGTGTGAAGATGGTAGTACCTGGGGCAGTATTTTCTCCCACCTCAACTTCATAGTTGGGTGCAGAGAATGCTGGTCGATAGTCATTCACATCCAACACTGACACAATTAACTGTAATTGAAAAAATAATTTATGAAAAATATGTTAAATTAGACACATGTGCAACTCTTGGGTATCTTTATTGAGGAAACGTTTTGCCACAAATTGGCTTCATCAGTCCATACAAAGGATAAACTTGAAGAACAGGAGGAGAATGAGGTAATCAGTCCCTCAACCTTGAGTTGATGTGATCAGTCGATCAATCTTGAATAGAATATGGCATATGAGCGGAGAAGCAGCTTATAAACCGTATGGCAGGAGAGGTGCAGCAGTCGTAGGTGGTGTCACATTTGTCCAATATGGAAGTAGGTCGTGCCCAAGGGTTAGGAAAGTGAAGAATTCCTAAGCATTAAGATCCCAAGAAGTTGCAGTGTCTGACAGTATTGTAGATGAATGGTTCAAAGAACCGACACGTTGTTAAATTAGACACGTGTCTAATTTAACAACGTGTCAGTTCTTTGAACCGTTCATCTACAATATGAAAAATATCTTTGAAAATATTATATAAGTATTATGAAGATGCCATCTATTCCACAAGTATAATATGGTTAAAGATTTGCAACAACACAATTACCCTTCAAGGGAATACCTTAATTTTTGTGAAGAGCTCTTGTTGGTGCATAAATGCTTACTATAACCCACTTTTCACATCCAACCCTTATTTTACTATACATAATCCTTGAATTTATACATTTATATTCCCTCTTTTCCTGCCGTAACTTATCCTTCAACATTACTGCTCCTCCTCCTTTAGTCTAACTCTATTTGAAACCCCTGACCTAGCCCATTTATTTCTCCCCACTGAAACTCTCCCACCCCTTTCAGCTTTGTTTCACTTAAAGCCAGGACATCCAGCTTCTTCTCATTCATAACATCCACAGTTGTCTCTTTCTTATCATTCGCTCAACATCCACACACATTCAAACATCTCACTTTGATGCTTTTCTTCTTTTTCTTTTTAGTAGGCTATACAGGAAAAGGAGTTGCTAGCCCATTGTTCCCAGCATTTTAGTTGACTTTTACAACACACATGGTTCATGGAGGAAAGATTTTTATTCCACTTCCCCATGGATTTAAAAGGAAAAGCAAGAAGTACAAGAACTATTAAGATAAAATCAAAGAAAACTCAGATGAGTGTGTATACATAAATGTGTACATGTATGTGTAGTGTAACCTAAGTGTAAGTAGAAGTAACAAGACATACCCAAAATCTTGCATGTTTATGAGAGAGAAAAAAGACACCAGCAATCCTACCATCATGTAAAACAACTACAGGTTTTCCTTTTACATTCACTTGGCAGGATGGTAGTACCTCCCTGGGTGGTTACTGTCTACCAACCTACTACATAGTAAACATAGATAAGAGTAAGGTGATAAGAGTATCAAATAATTTAGATAAAGAAAAATTGGATATCACATTGGAGAGAGAGAGGGAGTATGGAAGAAGTGAATGTTTTCAGATGTTTGGGAGTTGATGTGTCAGCGGATGGGTTTAGGAAGGATGAGGTTAACCATAGAACTGATGAAGGTAAAAAGGTGAGTGGTGCATTGAGGTATATGTGGAGACAAAAAGTGTTATCTATGGGGGCAAAGAAGGGAATGTATGAAAGTATAGTGTTACCAACTCTCTTATATGGGTGTCAAGCTTGGGTTGCAAGTGCTGCAGCAAGGGGGCAGTTGGAGGCAGTGGAGATGTCCTGTCTAAGGGCAATGTGTGGTGTAAATATTATGCAGAAAATTCGGAGTGTGGAAATTAGGAGAAGGTGTGGAGTTAAAAGTATTAGTCAGAGAGCTGAAGAGGGTTTGTTGAGGTGGTTTGGTCATTTAGAGAGAATGGATCAAAGTAGAATGACATGGAGAGCGTATAAAGCTGTAGGGGAAGGAAGGCAGGTTGGGGTTGTCCTCGAAATGGTTGGAGGGAGGGGGTAATGGAGGTGTTGTGGGCGAGGGGTTTGGACTTCCAGCAAGCGTGCGTGAGCGTGTTAGATAGGAGTGAATGGAGACAAATGGTATTTGGGATCTGACAAGCTGTTGGAGTGTGAGCAGGATAATATTTAGTGAAGGGATTCAGGGAAACCGGTTATTTTATATAACTGGACTTGAGCCCTAGAAATGGGAAGTACAATGCCTGCACTCTAAAGGAGGGGTTCGGGATATTAGCAGTTTGGAGGGATATGTTGTGTATCTTTATAGGTACGTATTTGCTTCTAAGTTGTTGTGTTCTGAGCACCTCTGCAAAAACAGTGATTATGTGTGAGTGAGGTGAGAGTGTTGAATGATGATGAAAGTATTATTTAGTGTAAACTTGTTGTCTGGCATTTATATGCATTTATAAATGAAAAAAATGGCGTTCTGCTTTCCGGCGATAGCCTGGAACCTAACCCACCTTATAAGTGGGGCCCTACTGTATATATATACATCTTCTTTTAACAAACCGGCCGTATCCCACCGAGGCAGGGTGGCCCAAAAAGAAAAACAAAAGTTTCTCTTTTCAAATTTAGTAATTTATACAGGAGAAAGGGTTACTAGCCCCTTGCTCCCGTCATTTTAGTCGCTTCTTACAACACGCATGGCTTACGGAGGAAGAATTCTGTTCCACTTCCCCATGGAGACAAGAGGAAATAAACAAGAACAAGAACTAGAAAGAAAATAGCAGAAAACCCAGAGGGGTGTGTGTGTATATATATGCTTGTACATGTATGTTTAGTGACCTAAGTGTAAGTAGAAGTAGCAAGACGTACCTGAAATATTGCATGTTTATGAGACAGAAAAAAGACACCAGCAATCCTACCATCATGTAAAACAATTACAGGCTTTCGTTTTACAATCACTTGGCAGGACGGTAGTACCTCCCTGGGCGGTTGCTGTCCACCAACCTACTGCCTAGAATATATATATATTTGCAAAACAACCACTGTGAAAGAGTAGTGAAATTCCAAGCGCTTTTGTGACTACTCACATTGTCAAGAAACTATGAAAGCAATACATCAAAGGAAGGCAATTAAAGGGCTTAGACCACACCTCACAGTCAATTCCCACAACAAAGAAACACCTGACGCGGGACAATACCAGACTCATAAGAGGAACACTGCAGTAGGTCCGCTGGTCCAACTAGACAGGTCCTCATGACATCCCACTAACAAAATATTCTACCCAAGAAATAAGGTTTATTATTTGTCCAATGTATTAATAAACTCTAACCAAATTTTATTAATTATAAATGAATCTAATTTATATAAACCAAAGGAAATATTCATATTATTTTCAAAACTGCTTTTTATGAAACAAGATTCAATTATATTTCTGTCAACCATGGACTTGCTTGATACAACTTTCTCAACGTTTTGAAAATCAATTGGATGGTTAAAATCTCTCACATGAATAAATAGAGCTTTGGAATCTTGTCCAGTTCTAATGCTATATTTATGTTGTTTTAATCTAAGTTCGAGACTTTTACCAGTTTGACTGTAATAAACTTCATTGCAAATTTTACAAGGAATCTTATACACACATCTGTCAGCATTTTGGGGGGAATTCTTTTTAAAAAAAAACCTGACTGCTTCTCATTCCCTAGAGACTGCATGACTCTCGTGGGTTTATTGCTTTCCTGTGATCATTATACTACAGTGGAACCTCAAATATCGAACTTTCTTCGGTCCAGAATAATGTAAATTAGATTAGACCATTCAAGACCCTCAAAAATACACTTATAAAAGCACTTACAAAAATACACTTACATAATTGGTTGAGTTGGGAGCAGTTCGATTTTTGAGGTTCCACTGTACTAATAATTACATCCATACATAATACTAATCATTACCTGAGTTGTAACAACATGAACTCCATCAGTAACAGAAATAGTTAAGTTGTAGAGAGACTTTAGTTCAGCATCCAGATGCCCAGCCACCATGACACTTCCAGTATCCCTCCCGACAGTGAACATGTTCTCAATGTCGCCACCTGAAAATTTATACAAGATCACAAGTGTGCTACACAAATTTCATTTATTTATTCAGCAGAAAAACACAGTTGTTGTTGATACAATGAAAGGCAGAATGAAAAGTTTAATGTATGTTACACAGTTATCATTAATTTATTGTGATTTGTTGATAATCATGGTAAGAGCACATACAGTGGGTGAGGTGGGTGGTATGGTAGGATGAGGAAAGAAATTAATGAAAATAAAGATACACTTGTTGGTCCAAGTCGAAGCATATTAAGGCCTCCTTCTTTGCCATAACTAACTGGGAAGCATAGCTTTTCACAACACTAAAGGGAAGTAGCTAATATAATCCAAGGATTATTAAGCCCAAGTCAATTGTGGTTTCACAAACGTATTTCTATTACTGTCCAGTAAATTTATTGCTGTACTATACTACATATAGTTTGAAGTTTACACACAGTCATGTACACTAACAAAACATTTAACCCTTTGACTGTCGCGGCCGTATATATACGTCTTACGAGGTACCGTCTTTGACGTATATATACTCATAAATTCTAGCGGCTTCAAATCAAGCAGGAGAAAGCTGGTAGGCCCACATGTGAGAGAATGGGTCTGTGTGGTCAGTGTGCACCATATAAAAAAAATCCTGGAGCACGCAGTGCATAATGAGAAAAAAAACACTCCGACCGTTTTTTTTAATTAAAATGCCGACTTTGTGGTCTATTTTCGTATAGTATTTATGGTTGTATTCTCGTTTTCTTGGTCTCATTTGATAGAATGGAAAACATATTATAGAAATAGAGGTGATTTTGATTGAATTTACTATAAAAAGAACCTAAAAATGGAGCTCAAAGTAGGGGAAATGTTTGATTTTTGCCAATGCTCAAAAGTAAACAAATGATGCCATTGTCCAATAAATGTCCAATTAGCCATTCTAATATGCAGTCATGAATGGGTTGATGTTATTTATACAATTATTACAGTATTGCAGTAGTCTGCATAATAGTAAGTCTTCAATTTTTTGTTTGAATAAAAATTCAAAATAGAAAGCAAGAGTAATATCAGAGGGGCCTGGACACATGACTGATGAGCAAAGAAAATGTTATTTTAGAGCCAGGAATGTCTGCATTGTTCATTCTGGACCTTATTTTGAAATTGTCATATTTTTTAGTTTTCGTGAAATTGGCCAAATTGCAAATTTCTGACCACATTATTAGGTAATTGAAATCGGTAAATGGGCAGTTTCTTGTACTCAATCGATAGAAAAAAATGGAGTTCTAAAGAAATAGCTATGAGTTTGGATGACTGGAACAATGGAATTAGCCGAAAATTGGGCTCAAAGTGGGCGAAATCGCCGATTTGTAAACAGCGCCGTCGCTAACTTCGCGAGAGCATAATTCCGTCAGTTTTCCATCAAATTTCATTTTTTTTGGTGTCATTACAATCGGGAAAAGATTCTCTATCATTTCATAAGAAAAAATAATTTTTTTTTTAAATTTTGCGACACCAGGAGACACCTCAGGATTGGGGGTTGCGACAGTCAAGGGGTTAAGGCAAATGAGTCAGTGAGTTTCATAGCCTCTTCACATTACAAAAAATCAACAGAGGATAATTCATTCCAATGCATTATCACATCATGAGCAATAATAGTGCAAATTACCTGGTGACAATCAGTCACCTGGATTTTTCTTTTTTACTGTTCTTTATTGTTAAATATATATTTCTATAGATTTATGTAATCTATCCTGACTTAAAACTACATGTATATGTATTTCGGTCACTGCATGATCAGAGAAAGATATCCCAATACAGTCACTCCTCACTTAGCAACATAAAAAGTAAAGTAAAAGATTTATTTCTTTGTAAAGATTACAAAGTGTAATTACAATTTTGTTTGCAAAGTACAAAGAAAGCCACTATCATACCAGGGCATTTTGGGCAGACTAATTAATCCTAGTACATAATAACTACATGTACTTAAATCTAAACAAGATAAGAGTGGTTAACTTTTATTAAAATCTTTATTTAATCTTAGTATTAATGCGAGGTAGTCAAGGTGGAGGTTTATACAAATAATAATCTTGAAGTTGACATAATACAAACAATATTACAATAATGGTTCAAGCAGTAATATTTCATGGATTGGCAGGTGTTTAATAGATTAGAGGTCATATAATATAATATAATAACTGATTTGAAGTTGTTTTGGTTAGTATTGAGAGATGAGATGATCATTTACTGACCGCTTGGAGTTACGACCACCTCTCCGACCAATATACAAACCTGAGTAATGTATATTAGAGCTGATTTACTCTATTCTGTTTATTACAGTATACAATATACAGTATAAACATTGAAAAATATACTAAAATTGTTATAAATGGTGCAAAGGTGACATTACAAAACTATTGAAAGATGGCTGACACAAACGTACTACCAGTACAATATCCTCCTCACTTAACCCTTTGACTGTCGCAGGCCCCTTTCTGAAACTGTCATTCTATGTCGCAAAATATTCGAAAAAAAAAAAAACAATTCTTACCAAAATGTTAGGATTATTTTACTGAGTGTTTAAAGCCTAAAAAAAATTTTTTGCCATCAGTACTTACCGAGATACAGAGGTGCAAAGTTGGCAGAAAATGAGCGGCATATGACAACAGCAGCGAATGTCGCCCACCCGGCATTCTTTTATTTACTCCAATTCAAAGGTTTCTTGTATTTTCCAATATTTTTCTTTTCTAAGTAACTTATGTGGCCTGTGAGACCAAAGTAAGGTGCATTGTTCAAATATACACTCATTGTTTACAACACAATAACTGAACAAACATTATCACTATTAGATTGTGTACAAAACTTGTTTACACAAACAATACAAAACATTGTTTATTACTATTGTTCCATAATATATATACATATGTACAGTCACTGAACACTTTTCTAGAACTGCTGCAGCTTATGGAACTCTTTGAAACATGGGTATATGCAGAGTGGTACTTGACACTCCTCACACATAAAACGAGTGTCTCTGCGTGTTTGTGGGACTTTTTCTTGAAAGCAGTAGGAGGCAGTTGTATGGGGTAGTGATCACCAGGCCTCAAATGAGATGGCGTGTGTTAGTAATTTTGTGGGTGCTGGTCTATTGCAAGTGTTGCTCCTTGGTACTTGGTGATTATTTGTCTGATGACTGACAAACAAAATTCACCATATTCTGGTTTGTTGTTGGTCCTCAACTTGTATATGTTATAAGCATTTAGCATGGAAATATCAAGAAGATGGAAAAAAAGTTTCATATACCACTTATAACTCTTGTGTATACAATCAGCAAACCCAATCTGCATGTCACATTTGTCCACTAAGCACATATTGAGGTTGTAGTCCATAACAGCTGCAGGTTTTAGAATGGGTTCATTGGTCTCTCTATTGTGCCTGCCAGTGTGTGCCATTTCATTTCGGTGAACTGATGTCAACAATGTGACATCACATTTGTCATGCCACCGAAATGCCATGATGTCACTGGCAGCAAAGGCCTGCACCTCACCTCTGCGAGTGCCAGCATCGAACCTTGGCATATGTTTACGATTACTACGCACATCTGTCAGGTTCACTCACAAGAAATCACTGAGTATGGGGCTTGTGAACCAGTTATCAGTATATAATATATGCCCCTTACCAAGATATGGTTCCATCATTGTTATAACCACATTACCAGAGATACCCAATAACTTCATGGTATCTCTCAATGTAATACTGCCAGTGTACACAATGATATCCAAAACGAGACCACTTTTGCAATCATACAGTACAAATAACTTTATACCAAAGCGTTTCCTCTTGCTTGGTATGTATTGCTTGAATGAGAGTCTTCCTTTGAATAAAATCAAAGACTCGTCAATAACAAGCTTCCTGAAGGGATAAAAATACATGCAACACTTTTCTTTCAGGTACATAAACACATTTCTGATCTTATATAACCTGTCGCTTCTATCAGGCCTTGTTTTGTCTGAAAAGTGTAACATACGCAATAGTATCAGAAAACGATTCACACCTATAATGTCACTAAAACCTGGGGTTGAAATCAGGCATTCTGTTGCCCAGTATGTGGTGACAGTGTGCTTATACACATGTGGCATAAGCATTATTGTGGCAAAAAACAGGTACATCTCTGCCACAGTTGTGTCTTTCCACTGGTGTAGCTGTGACCTTGGTGAGAGAATTGTATTTGCCATGGTGTACTCATAGTATGTGTTGGTTTCCCTGACAATAATGTCCATCAGGGGTTCATCGAAGAATAACTGAAAGCATTTCAGTTCAGTAGCATTGTTCCCAAGTGTACATGATGGCCGTATTCCACTTTGTGTTTCATCAAAGTCATGGGGATTGGGAACAAACTCGTCACCTTCCTGCCAATCCCAGATGGGGTCTGCTGGTGGCTTCTGGATATTGAAATGCGGTTGTGGTTGTGCAAGTTGTGGTTGTGCAGGTTGTGGGAGCGTGGGGCTGGGTGAGGCTGGTTGTAGTTGTGCAGAGTTAGCAGCGTCGGTAGTAGCATGGCCCGCTGCTGGTGCCACATGACTCGTGTCACCATCACTATCACCACCACCACCTGCTGCCTCACTCACATCATTCATACCCATCATAAAAATATCGTCATCTTCACTATCATGTCGTGGTGTAGAGCCACGGGATGTGCTCCGAGATTTACTCCTTCCCCTTGGAACAGCATATGGCACACTACCAGACTGCATGCTACGTCGTACATACTGCCACTTCGCTGGGGAATATTCACCCTCACTATAGCAATTAGAACTGCTTTCAATAGCTTTGAAATCACTATCACTATCACTTTCACTGCTCACATCTGAGCCTTGTACACGGGCAAATAGTTTCCTCTTTCGTCCTGGTACAGGTGAATGTGAACGAGCCGGCCCAGCACCAGAGGTGGAAGGTCGTGGGTCATCTGGGTTTTCATCACTAATTACGTTATCCTGGGCACTGTTTTCGGTCACACCCACTTGAAAACCCTGGAATTCACTTTCACTGACGCTTTCATTGCTGTTAGAGCTATCACTTGGGAACAAAAGACCTCCAATCCGCCGAGGCATGGTGAAAATGGACTACCAAGATGGCATTCCCACAATGCACCACTGAGTCCCAGATTTTTTTCACAGGGTGCACACCCACTACTCAAGACCCATTCTCTCTCATGTAGGCCTACCAGCTTTCTCCCGCGTGATTTGAAGCTGCTAGAATTTACGCATATAAATACGTCAGAAACAGTGGCGCATAAGACGTATATATATACAACTGAAACAGTCAAAAGGGTTAATGACCCATTCGCTTACCGACCTACTCTTAGGAATGGCACTCAGTCATTAAGTGAGGAGAGGCTGTATACCATAAGTCCAGCCTCCTCTACTTCAATGTATGTAAAAGGAATATAGGATGGTATTTTAGTTCAGCAAAATATAAATACAGTGGTACCTCGGTATACGTCCTTAATCCGCTCCAGGACCTTGGACTTATACCAAACAGGACGTATATAGAACTAATTTTCCCATAAGAAATATAAGGAAAACGATTAAAAAAAATCCTATTGTTATTGGCATATTATACATTGATGGAGTTGTATAAATAAATTAAACACTGCCTAATACTAAAATATGTAATTTAAACACTGCTTAATACTAAAATACATAGATAAATCTGAAAGAATTAGATGAAATAAATGCAAATTTAACGTCACTTTACTTTGCTGAAAGAGAGTCCCCTTCTTTTTTCTGTCTCTTTTTCCTATTTGGACCAGGTTGAAGCTCACCAGGTTTGACTTTTACTAAAAATCTGTCCAAAGAACTTTGTTTCGTTTCTGCCTTCTCCTCAGGATGTTTCGGAAATGTGACATTGTCTAGTCATTCCAGACAATGCTATTATGGCTTGTTTGGGCTTTGTGGGGGTGGTACTTCTCTGCAAAGTTTTTGACGTCCATCCATTTGGCAAAGATTTCCTTGATTAATGAAGTAGGGCCTTCTTCTATCTCCTCTTCTGAGCCTGAAGAGAGTACATGCATCTTAGTCTTGTGCTCCTCTTTCTTAAGTTCCTGCAGCTCCTCAGTGGTCAGCTCTCCCCTGTGCCTCTCCACTAACTCCTCCACATCACCATCACTCACATCCAAACCCATGGACCTGCCCAGAGAGACAATATCCTCCACTATAGAAACAGCCTCAAAGTCCCTTTCAGCCACAGCTTCCGACCACAAATTTCTCCAAGCAGAGTTCATTGTTCTGTATGAGACTTCCTGCCAGGCTTTGTCAATGAGTTACGCAGTGGACGATAGTAAAGTGATCTTTCCAAAACTCTCTCAGGGTTAACTCTGTGTCAAAGGTAACTTTAAAGCACCTCTGGAATAGTGCTTTAGTGCAGAGTTTCTTGAAATTACTGATGACCTGCTGATCCATGGACTGAATGAGAGGAGTCGTGTTAGAGGGGAGAAACTTATCAATGATGAGGTCAAACTCCAGCAGCACATAGTCCTGCAAGCTTGGAGGGTGAGCTGGAGCACTGTCCATTATGAGGAGGGCCTTCAGAGGCAGGTTTTTCTCCTCTAAATAACTTTTTACACTTGGCCCAAACAACATTAAACCATTCACTGAAATATTCTCTGGTTACCCAAGCCTTGCTGTTTGACCTCTGCATCACAGGTAACTGAGTTCTCTGCACATTATGTTTTTTAAGGGCCCTCAGGTTTTCAGAGTGGTAGATCAGTAGAGGCTACAGTTTGCAATCCCCACTTGCATTGGCACAGAACAAGAGAGTTAACCTATCCTTCATTGGTTTGTGTCCTGGTAATGCCTTTTCCTCTTGTGTAATATAGGTCCTGTTAGGCATTTTCTTCCAAAACAGGCCCATTTCGTCACAACTAAAAACTTGTTGGGGAACAAAACCCTCAGCCTCCATAAATTCCCCAAACTCTGTAAAAAAAATCATTGGCGGCATCTTTATCATTCTGATAAAGCACACGAGTCATATTCCAAACAAAGGTCATATACCAAGCAAAAATTTTTGCATCCAAACAGGATGTATACCAAGTTGGACTTATTCCAAAGCGGATGTATACCAAGGTACCACCGTATATGTATATGTGTGTACATGTTTGTGTGTATGAATTTCTGAATATACATACATGCACTTTCATATGTATACGTGTATGTATGCATGTGCAGAAGTATATTTATGCAATAAACCCCCTAATTAATGGACCTCCATATAACTGATTTTGGAAATTAAGAAAAAAAAAACATTGGCCAACCAAACGTTGGAGTCATTGGATAAAAGGAGTAAAAGTCCATAATTATGGATTTTGTTCTTAACAATAATGTCCAGTTGTCTTCTGAAAACATCGGACCAAGTCTGACGATTCCAATGTTTGTCCTGTATAGGCCAGTGTGTCCACACTTAGGACCTGTCTGTTTTCATCGTTCCTCGAGCCATAGGCCACCTGTGCCTATTTAGTGTCAGTGATTGCTCATGCATACACTCATCATTCAGTCTCCAATTTTCCCTGGATTTACAGTGTGTCATGTGACTTGTTGATGTATTAAGTAAAGTGCAATTAACAGTGACTTCTGAAGCAAGTGGTGGTGCCAAGAGGAAATGTATGATTCTCAGTGTTAAGCAGAAACTCGAACTAATAAAAAAGGTCAAGTTTGGCGTCTTCTCAGTCACCTGCATTTTCACTACTCGAGCTTTACAGCTCCTGTGACTTTGAATAAGTTATTTCTAGTCACCGCTATCAATCAGCGCAATTTACAACTCATCTCTCCATCACGAAAGCTAAGTAAAATTACTGTAAATTACATATACTATAAAATTACTATATAGTACAATACTGTAGTACTACCATTCTAAGTGTCCAGTAGCCTTCCCAATCAGCAGACGAATTCCACTAGTTCAGAGCTTTGTCCATTTGACATTGCTTACTGCTGATGACTTTGCTGTGTGACTTACAGCCTTTGGCTTGAACCAAACTCTGTATATGGTTGCCAGTAGGATGCATTTTTTTGTGTTCCTTGAAAGGCAAAATTTTGCATACCAAGAACTCCCTAAAACAATCAATTCTAAAATTTTCTATCAATATTTATATTTTTATTTGATAAACCACAAGTTTTCATGATAAACTGTCTTCTTTTATTCACTTTAGTTGTATGCATATTATTTCCCAAACAGGTATAAATATATTAACAGGAAAAACATACACAGATGTTTCTAAAGGCCACCAAATCTAGACCAGATGCTTCTCTAAATCATGACATTAGTATTTCTCCAAAGCAGTGACTGTGTACCTGATGCATGTGCTTCATTACAAATGGTTACTTGTCATGTTACACATGATTTTCATGCATGGGCATGCATATACAATGATCATGATTTTTCTGGCTAAAAGGGAGACAAACTTAGGCCAAGCCCTGCCTATGGATATTTCTGGGTGTCTCTCTAGCAGTCCATTTTTATAAATTGCCTACAATATGACACAGTTTCAGATGTTCCGATCTCACTGCTCAGCACTTTGACACTTTCTTCCAGTATTTTGAGTTCTAGTATGATTCCTATGAATGGTTCAGTGAGAAAGAATGCAAAATATAGAATACCTGAATAATAAAAAAATGAACCATAGCATTTGAACCATAAACCATGGCATATGCCACCTTCTCTTGCCAGCTTTTTCTTGCAGGCTGTTCCAGATGGAGCTGTAGAGCTATGACATAGCCATGACATACCTACCATAGGTTTCATTCTACCCATCTTCCCTACAGCCTGGCCTGAGGCCAAACTTCCTTGATGATTACCTGGGCCATGAGACAGCAAACACTGTACAGAAGAATGTAAACATATGCCATATAGGGTAAAAAGTTATCTAACAGTTTATTACTGGTATTAAGTATAAGAGATTATACACACAACTTGATATTCCTATTAGCAATGTACAGAACCTTCCACAGAAAGAAGTTATAAATCTTTCTTTCTTTCAACACATCGGCCGTATCCCACCGAGGTGGGGTGGCCCAAAAGAAAAAACGAAAGTTTCTCCTTTTACATTTAGTAATATATACAGGAGAAGGGGTTACTAGCCCCTTGCTCCCGGCATTTTAGTTGCCTCTTACAACACGCATGGCGTACGGAGGAAGAATTCTGTTCCACTTCCCCATGGAGATAAGAGGAAATAAACAGGAACAAGAACTAGAAAGAAAATAGAAGAAAACCCAGAGGGGTATGTATATATACACTTGTACATGTATGTGTAGTGTGACCTAAGTGTAAGTAGAAGTAGCAAGATGTACCTGAAATCTTGTATGTTCATGAGACAGAAAAAAGGACACCAGCAATCCTACCATCATGTAAAACAATTACAGGCTTTCGTTTTACACTCACTTGGAAGGACGGTAGTACCTCCCTGGGTGGTTGCTGTCTACCAACCTACTACCAAGGAGAAGTTATAAATATAGAAATATAAACCATGTAGATAGCCAAGTAGACCTCTCTTAGTTTGTGACAATTACATCATTCCATGAAACATACAATTTTGTAATGTACAGCAAAAATTCAATGTCTTAGATTAATTTACATTTTGTAATACTGTAAATATAAATATTAAGACGAGACAAATCTTACCAATAATATCAAACCAGAGTTGGTCACCATCATCATCATTAGCTTCAATCAGAGTAACATGGTGACCTATAGGGTCACTTTCCAGAACCGTCACACGAACCTCTGGCTGCTCCCGAATAACAGGTGGGTGTGGAGATGTTTTAAGTATAGGCACCAAGTTAACAAGTACCAAGCACGAGTTAGATTTTTGTGGACGTCCATTATCTATTGCTTGGACCTGAAAGAAGTGTAATAACTTTCTTGAATTAGGAGTTTTTGAAAACAATGAAGTGTATTAGAAATGCCTTCAGGATCTCCACATCTCTCTCTCCACTATAGTGTTTAGCACAATCCAAAATGCTATATTTAAAGTAGATACAAAAAACAGGTGAAACTTTTTAAAGAACCTTTTAAAAACATAAATTACTACAAGAAAATATTAATAATTTCTTCTAAAAAACTATACATATGAGGCTTGGTCAAAGACCGGGCCACGGGGGCAGTGACCCCCGGAACTCTCTCCAGGTAAACTAAATGCTTCATTTTAATAAATTGGTTGTTTCTGTCACAAAGAAAGATAATGCATTCACCATCATTCTTTCCCTAGCTGTCTTCCCAGAAGCACATGGACATCACAGTTCAAATTACCAAATGAACTAAACCTCAATTATTCTTTAGAAAGCAAGCAGTTTCCATCTCTAGTTATCAGATTTGGATAACTTCTTTCTCTAAATTCCGCCACATACAGTGGAACCTCAGTTTTCGAATTTAATTCGTTCCAGATGTCGATTCAACAACCAAAATGGACAACAACCAAAGCAATTTTTCCCGTAAAGAATAATCTAAATAGAATAATCTGTTCCAGACCCCAAGTGACAATATAATATATTACTAATGTACTAACTACTACATAAAACAATGTATAAAATTATACAGCACAGGGAAACTAAAAATGAATACTAAATTAAATTTAACTGAAATACTGTACAATAATTGGAAATTTAACTGGCCATTACATATCAGAGAAGAGCTAATGGCATACTAGAAGCAGGAGGCAGAGGAGAGGAGAGGTATTGTTACTGTTTGGAAGGAGAGTCACCTTCTGTTAACCCTTTTCGTGTTCCTGTCGTATCATGGCTTTAAAGTCAGTGTTGGTGCTGCCATGAACTCAGCTCACTCAGATAAGCTGTTAGAAGCAAATTTTGGCCTAGATATGAAAGAATGGGTCTATGTGGTAAGTGTGCACTATATAAAAAAATCCTTCAGCATGCAGTGCATAATGAGAAAAAAATGCAGCTGTGTTTTTAGTTTAAAACAAGGAATTTGCAGTTATTTTTAAATGGTTTTTATGGTTGCAGTCTGGGTTTCTTGCTTTCATTTGATAGAATGGAAGATATTTTACAGAAATGGAGATGATTTTGATTGGTTTCAGGACTGAAAGTAACTTAAAATTGAGCTCAAAGTAGAAGAAATGTTCAATTTTTGCCAATGTTCAAGAGTAAACAAATCACATCATGCATCCATGTCAACTGGTGGGTCTAATATGCATTCACAAATGAGCTGATATTATTTATATAATTATTACAATAATGCAGTAGTATAACAGTATATTTTCTATTTTTTGTGTGAATAAAAATTCAAAATGGAAAGCAGGCGTAATATAAGAGGGCCTGGAGACTCTGGAGACATGACTAATGAACAGAGAAAATGTTATTTTATTGCCAGGAATGTCTGCATTGTTTATTCTGGACCCTATTTTGAAATTGGCATCTTTTGAAATTTGTGTGAAATTGGCCAATCTGTCAATTTCTGACCATTTTATTAAGTATTTGAAATAGGTGAATGGGCAGTTTCTTATACTCAGTCGACAGAATAGAAGGAATACTAGCGGAATAGCTATGAGTTTGGTAGACTGGACCAATGGAATGGGCCAAAAATAGGGCGTAAATTAGGTGAAATCGCCGATGCGTAAGTAAGTTTACCATTACTTGCTTATCATTAAACTACTGTTATAGAACAGATAACCAGTGCAAGCTTATACTGTCAAACTTGTGCCATTATAAGAGTTAGCAGTTTCCCTGTACTATATAATTACATATTTTAATCTACTCTTTATGTATTAAGTTTGTTTCTTTATTTTCTCTTTTGACTACCATAACCTACAGACTATTAATTTTAATTATCACTTCCAGTACCATTCAATATTATTGCTCAGTATTAATACAACAGTTCAATATTAAATCATAAAATTGTACCATATTAAGAGTTAATAGTATCTCTTTAAAAACATTTGTTTTAAAAATTATGTACTTGAAAAAATCCATTATCTAGTAAGATAAATAAGTTTAGTTTCATAATATTAAGTCCAACATAATACATTGTTCAAAAGTCTAGTTACAGAATCACACACAATCATATGATTACAAGCATTGATCCTGATATCAACCTTTTATTAAATGACTTACACACATCGAACAGCAACTGTAATTATTATACAGTAGACTAAGCAAAGACATTACTCAGAGCCAATAATAACACAACTATCTTTAATTACAATGTCAGATCTTTGAGCAAACATTACAATGACCTTACAGCATTACTCAATTCCCTGCATACCAGTATGTCAATCATCACACTCACAGAATCCTGGCTAAAGCCTGGTACTACAGATGTCTATGCCATTCCTGGTTACACAGCCATACACAACTGTAGGACAGACCAGCAAGGGGGTGGAACAGCTATATACTATTCAGATCAACTTGAATGTATCAATAATTCTTGCAAAAGGGACAAACATGGAGAATATATAATAGCTAAATTTAAATCAAAAGACCTGGAAAAACCCTCTCATAGTCATAAACATCTACAGAGTACCACAGTCAAACATTTACCATTTTAGTGACAAATTAGGAAACATGATAACTGATGCACACATGAATGAAGACCACTTACTGCTCACAGGAGATTTCAACATAAATCTCCTACATGACCAGGACCCACAAGAAACCGAATTCACAAACACTATGAGTAACTGCTTGTTGCTACCAATAACAACAAAACCCACAAGAATCTCCGAGACCAGTGTCTCCTTAATAGACCACATCTGGACTAACACCATATCCCCTTTAAAATCAGGCACAATACAGACAACACCACAGACCACTACCCTGCCTTCTTCATAACCAACCTAGGTAAATTGCCCTAAAACACTACTAAAGTTACCTTCAGACTACATAAGGAGACAGCAGTTAATAACTTTAAACAGCTATGATTAACATCAACTGGAATAATAAGCTAGAAACATATACAGATACTGATGAATGCATCAATAATTTTCTAAAAAAAAAAACATTATCTCTATAACAAGCATTGCCCCCAAAAAACTAAACAGATCACAGCTAAGAGACTAAACAGTCCCTGGCTAACACCCAGCATCCTTAAATCCATTAACACAAAGCATCTATATGAAAAACAGTATAGAATGGGCCGAATAACCAGAGACTATTCTAAACGTTACTCATCAATCCTTATCAACCTGATAAAAAGGTCAAAAAATATTGTATTATGAGAACAGATTACATAACATAAAAGGTGATATGAAAAAAGATCTGAAAACCCTATTTGAAATTCTAGGAACTAAAAAGATATCCAAAAACAAAACACTCAAATTAACAAAATCAGATGAACCCCTACTCCCACCAACTGAAACAGTAAACAGACTCAATGTTTTCTTCTCCACCATAGTTAAGAATCTAGCAAGCAAAATCCCAAGCTCAAACACCCATTCATCAGACTACCTCACAGGTACCTACCCAAATGCACTATTCCTAGCTCCAACCAACCCAACAGAAGTTTCGTGCATTATCAACACCCTCAAAAACAAGGCAGGAGATATAACTTACCACCTTTTATGTACAAAAAAGCTTCTCAAGTACTGTCACCAATTATTGCAATACTCTTTCACAAATCCATCGAATCCTCCACCTTCCAGTCAATTCTCAAAATAGCGAGGGTCATCCCTATCCACAAACGAGGAGATCAAACAGACTTGAATAACTACATATCAACATAGGTAGATCTATTCCTACCTCGTCTCTTAAGACATACTCAACCCCTCTCAGTTTTTATTCAGGACTAATAAAAGCACAAATGATGTTATTATACCCATGCTAGAACTAATATACACCGCTCTCGAGAAGAAAGAAGTCCCGCTAGGAATCTTTATTGATTTATGTAAAGCTTTTGATACAGTCGACCATGACTTGCTGCACATTAAATTAACACACTATGGTATAAGAGGGCACTCCCTCAACTACTTAAAGTCATATCTTAGTAACAGAAGCCAATGTGTACACAAACTGAGCTAACTCTTCCACACAACCAATTACAGTTGGGGGTCAAACAAGGAAGTGTCCTTGGCCCTCTCCTCTTTCTCATGTACATCATCTCATGAATGCATCATAACTACACAAACCCATATTATTTGCAGATGACACAACATATGTCTTCTCTCACCCAAACCCAGTCATACTGGCGAACACTGTTAATACTGAATTACAGAAAGTATCTACCTGGATGATGACTGACAAGCTCACACTCAATACTGACAAAACCTATTTCATTCAGTTTGGAAACAGAGCTACAAATGTTTCACTTAACATAATGCTAAATGGATCACCCATCACAAGACTCATATGCAGTATAATGTGATCCTTTATTGACAATGTTTCGCCCACACAGTGGGCTTTTTCAAGTCACAAACGGATCTGTTTGTGACTTGAAAAAGCCCACTGTGTGGGTGAAACGTTGTCAATAAGGGATCACATTATACTGCATATGTGTTTATATTTCCATTGTGCTGGTATTTTATACCATTTACTTCCATCCATACTTATTCTTGTGCCTACTACATGTATAGAACACTAAACTCAAACATAAACCCTTCACTCAAAATTCTCCTCACTAACCTTAGCAAGACGCACAACCATAACATGAGGCACAGATAACTTTTTGATGTACCCCGTGTCCACCTTACACTGTGTAAGAACTCTATAAACATAAAGGGCCCCAAAATTTGGAATTCATTACTAGTAAATACTATAAACTCGATCTGAACATCAATTTAAGACTCTTCTCAAAAACCATCTACTCATCCTAAACTAAACATGCCAAAAAGATCTCCCAATTACCTTAAATCTTAACACTTCAAAATTTAGTTACACAAAGTTCATACATAACATAATACTACATTGTAGTATAACAACCTGTACAAAACTATACTGCCTTACACCATAATGTAACATTCTCATACTGTAACCTACTTTCACCAATGCTCAATATTATATTCCAATAATATAACTTAAATATTTACTATTGATATACACCATCTACAAAATACTTTCAAATTGTTCCAATGTAATATCCCCAGATTGTAACTTGAGTAAACTTACTATGCACAACTTAAACTATGACCAATTTCTCTAGTATTAAGTAGTCTGTAAGCCATTAATTTAGTCTGCCCATAATGCCATGGCATGATAGTGGCTCTCTTTACACTGAAACTCATTATTGTAACTACAGAATCTCAATGTAAACTTGCAAAAAAATAAAAATTGTATTGTATTGTATTGCCTTTGGGTTAAGTGTATTCTAACCTAACCACTCTGTAATCCAGCAGTCACTAATCTGGCACCCTACAGGTCCTGATGATGCCAGATTAGTGATGGCCGACCTGTACTAGTGAAGCAGCTATGAGTTTGGTAAACTGGAACAAAGGAATTGGCCCAAAATAGAGCTCAAAGTGGGCAAAATTGCCGATGCATAAATATCACCAAGACCATTAACTTTGCAAGAGCATAATTTCGTAAGTTTTCCATCAAATTTCAAACTTTTGGTTTCATTACCTTTCTTATGAAATGATAGACATTTCATAAGAAAAAACGTTTTTTTTTTTTTTTCGAAAATTCTTTGACCCCTGAGAGCAAGTTTGTTAGCAGGGGTCACAACACTGAAAGGTTTAATATGTCAGGCAAATGTCCTGGTGTTGTTTCTCTTCTTTGACTCTTTTCACAAATAACACCTTTTTCTGGCTCACTGGTTCTTTGTCTCACTAAAAACCTGTCCAGTGAGGGTCATTTCAAGTTCCGTTTTAACACTTGTCTAAATTGAGACTGAGACATTACACTGTCCTTGTACATGTTAAAGAGAGATGGATGGCCACTGCAAAAACTTGTCCATCAACAACCAAGAGACTACAAAAACCAGGACGTGTTTTTCTTGAACACCTACTTCGAAAACCAATTTATTCAACATGTAATGCAATTGACAACCGAGGTTCAACTGTACTATACATTTTAGTTTTTACAACATTTTGCCCAGAAAAAGACTCGCATTCACACATCACATATATATTTTAATTTTAGCAGTAACATACCGTGAATTCATAATCTTCCCTTGGATCCAATCCAGCCTTTGCAGATATTACACCAGTCTTTGGATGAATCTTAAACAGGCCATGAAATTTGGTAGAATCTATGCGATAACTTACATTCCCATTATCATCTTCATCTTCATCCACTGCCACAACCTGTAATGAGTACGAAGTTGACATTATTCTATACAAGGAGTCAGTCAAATTAATAATGATCTAAAAATTAAGCTAAAAATGAAATCACATATAATCAAAATTAGGTATCCTACACATGCAACTACACCATGAGCAGACACAATACAACATTCAGTATTTTCTATCATTACAATTAACTACAGCACCAAGTTATAAATTCCACAAGTGTGGATGAGAATTTTAAGGAACAAGCTATGGCACTATTCATCTATACTACTAATTACCTGCTCTAACCCAACCCTGCAAGCATCTTACCCTACATATAGGAACATATTCCAGCTCCACCTCCTCCTCCACCCTCTGTTGGTCTTCCATTATTTCCACAAGAGGGCCGGAGCTCCTATACTCTTTCAGGATAAGGGAACCTCCCCCAGATCCCTCATCTTCCTCTGCATCTTTCACCCTCACATTCTTGTAAGGGAGGAAGTAGTCAGCATCAGGTGAGGAGAAGTTCTACGCAGCCACATGGATTAGGGATTAGCTATTATTAGTGGTTTATTTGGCTGAGCAAAAGGCAGTAATGGAGAGTCAGAATTTGTATGTGACAGGTTACCATGCATTTCCTCATGTACAATGGGTAACGTGTGTCTGAATTTCTTATATTGTAGTATAGATTATATTTGTTGCACATACATTTCCTCATGTACAATGAGGAACATGTCTGAATTTCTTATGTTATAGATGATATATACAAATATACAATGGTGAGTCATTAACATACAATTCATATATGATATGGTCATATGCATTGCTACTTGATAAACTATACAAAATATATGTACAACTATAAGAGGTCTTCCAACAATGCAACATTACCATCTTAGTTAAACTTGACAAAGTTAATGCACTGGCACTGCAATCATACTTAACATTTAAAGTATGCAAAACAAGGAATTATGGTAGTTAAAATTTTGCATCTGTATTCAAATGAAATGCACTACCATTTTAAAGAATAAACTTGACTGTTAAACAACACAGGCATTTTGGGGTTAGGAAGAACAGTTTGCATATAATTACTAACATCTCTGTGATTATTGTAACGATATATAGGAGTATCTGTATTTAGTGTAACTATTTCTTATTTGGTATCAGGCTTTAATATGTATTACTGAAGAGATGTGGCCATGAAGCAGAAGGATTTTGCCAACACCGATAGTATTAACATGCTAAATCCCGTGTATTGCTCGAGTAGATAAGTCAATAGTACAGGCAGGCCCCACTTTACAGTGCTTTGTTTTACAGCATTTTGCTAATGCAGCGGTTTTCAATTATACCCATTCTTCATTTATTCAGACTTCCTACAATAAATATATTCACCACTCACTATAAGCTAAGGATGAAAATATTTTAATGTAAGTAATGTGTGTACTTTATATGCATTTTTTAGGCCTAACTCTATTGCTCACTTAACATGTTTACACTATCATATACTATCAGGCTTCCATAAGTATTTGAAAGTGAAAAAAGGCTATGTTTTGCTTTACAGCAATTTTTCCTTTACAGCAGTAGCTCGGAACCTAACTTGCTGTATAAGCGGGGCCCTCCTGTACTGCCTCTCAAGCCACTAATAATTTCAACTAAAAGTATTTTCACACAGCATTGAAAATAAATGTTACCTCATATGTTTTGCAGAAATACAAAGTTAAAAATTGAGAAAATTAAGAAATATAAGTCGGTGAGCATCCAAGATAGTGCTTATTTCCATTAGACGTATCACACCATAAGGCCACATGCTATAAACTCAACAGAGAACAAAATAGTTTTACTAGAAAAATACATGTAACAACTTCAGTTTATAACACTCATTATGAAGCAAAACATTTTCAAGTTACAGACTTAAAAAATCTAAACCAGTAGCCATAAAGAGCTGTAACAAAGTATTATTTTCACACAAAATTATTTAATTTATGCCTTCAGAAATGCAATGTAAACAAGTCATACTGTGGTAAAAGATTTAATTTTTTCTTAAATATATATATTTTTTTTAAATTTCATAAAATATGAAATAAAATTTCTTCGAGTGTTCTGGATAATTCTGTGTTCAGCTGCATAACACAGTAAAAATCTGAAATCTGGTAACTCCATGAAAGCATAATCCCACCACTGACAAAAAAATTTGTGCAGAAAATATTCCGACATCAAAATAACTGTTTTATTGATTTTTCTTTAGTGTCTTTAGTATAAAATTATATTGGTCAAATGGCTTCGAAACCAGGGTATATAGTATCTGCTGATGGTTCCAGGGTTCATTTCTGCCACAGTTCAGTTTCAGACCAAGCCTTCTAAATTAGAAAGGAAATTTCCAGGCCTATACTCGTGTACTTGTGCAATATACCTATGATCAGTTTCGATATTTTTTTTCTTGAAGACTGGCCTGAGGTTAATCGTCCCTGTTGATTGCCTGCTCAGTCAGGATGTTGCTGCTGACAGGCACCTGGCTCACCTAGCCATCACAGCCTGGTTGATCTAGTACTGTGTAGAGGCAGTGGTCCAGTTTTCTTCTATGCTTGTCCTGGCACAATTTCTGATATCTGCAAAGTAGTTGATCAAAGACTCTTCGATCATGGATGTTACACACTGTTTTCTTATTGTGCTCATTGCACCCCAGCCTTTCAATATGCTTATCTTATATTATCTCTAGTATCTTTCAATCCAGTAAGTTATGCTAGTGTGAAGCTTAGGACTAAGCCTTCAAGTATCTTTCTGCTCCAGAAAGCACATTACAAATATTATGAGGTGCTCCCAGTGGTTTAAATGTTTTATTGGTTCAATGCATGATATCTCTCCGGCATTGAACTGAGCCATCAGTGCCTAACAAGACTCTAGATATGAGAGCACAGCTTGTTTGAATTATGTCACCGATGGACTTGTTTATCCTGAAATAAAATTTTTCAATATCCACGCTGTCCTTTTTCTGGTCTTTGCTGCATTTGTCTTATTGTGTTCCCTAAATGACAGGTCATTTGACATTATTACACCCAAGGCTTTTATATGCTTCCTTCATTCTATGAAATGGGCCTCCTGTATTTTGTAAAAAGTATTTGACTTCAGTACCTTCATTCTTTCCACACCTGAGCAATTGAAATTTGCCACCACTGAACATCACATTATTTTACAATGTCTATTGCAAGACTTTGTTTACATCTGCTTGCAATTATTACACGTCTTCTACTGAGGCACCTTTCATGATCACTTTGTAATCGTCCATGAGGGATGATAGGAATCTGTGGCTAGTGTTGCTGTAAAGGTGCCACGACTGAGCTCTGGAGTAGTGAACTTTTCATTTTGCTAAGGTTAGACTTTGCTCTTATTACTACAGTACTACCACATTGGAACCTCGGCTTACAAACTTAATCCGTTCCATGACCTCATTCGTCTCCTGATTTGTTCATATGCCGAGTCGATTTTTCTCCTCATTTAAATTAAAATGAAATGCAATTAATCTGTTCCAGCCTCTCAAGAGGTATGACAAAATAATGGTAATATCAACTCTGCAGCTTATTTATCTATCAAAATTCATCTAATATGACATAATAAACAATATTACTAACATAGAAACATGATATATACTCTAGAGTGAATAAAATAGGCCAAAATATGGCGAATGATCGTGACGCCGTCAGCATCAACTATTTACTCTCCCACTCCAGTACCTTCCCAGTCCATAACCCCATAACTAGCTTGTGTTTATCTATGATTAGTGGTGAGGTTGTCACATATGTAACCACACGTGTGGTCAAGACAGATGTATACATATACGTATATATAGGGGAAGACATGGTGGTGGTGGTGGTGAGGTGTCTCACTCTCTGCTGCTGCCTTCTTCGTTTCTCTAGCTTTTTTCATAGTTTCTAATCGCTTCTTGCTGATCGTAGGCAAATACTGTCCCTTTAGGCGAGGCATTGTGTAAAAAAATTTGTACACATAAGACAAAATTACGTGTCCCAAGGGTCTGCTGTGGTCACTCAGAGCAGCACACCTTCTCTTCCTTTTGACCCTTGGTCGGCACTGAGATGTGGTCTAGCAGTTGTACCTACAGCCACATAGAGGTTCACCAGTTTGTATTTTGAAGCATTTGGCACAAAAATATAAAAAAAAAAATTATGAAAAATGTCTAAAAATGACATTATTATTATTATTATTATTATTATTATTATTATTATTATTATTATTATTATTATTATTATTATTACTATTATTACTACTGCTACAGTATTATTATTATAAATTATTATTATTATTATTATTATTATTATTAATTATTATAATACATATGTAATAATAATATCATCATAATTATGATTATTATTTAGGGAACTGGAGCACAGATCCAATTCCCTAGATCAAGAGCCCCTCACCATGTATGTAATACTGATAATTATAACAATAATAGCATGCATATTATTATTAGTAGTAGTAGTATGTATGTATGTACATATTATAATAATTATTATTGTTATTATTATTACTATTAATTTAAGGAACTGAAGCACAGAATCAATTCCCTACATCAAGTGCCCTTCACCAAGGAACCTCCCTTGAGGGGAAAGGACATATCCTGAAATTTCATTCGTATCCAGAAGCAAAAAATCGACCGAACCACGGTTCGTATCCTGAAAAGTTCACATGATGGGGCATTCATAAGCAGAGGTTCCACTGTACATGTATTTTTTTTTTTTTACCATTTTGACTTGGATTGCATAAATCGTACTTATCCATAAAATTAGAAATTTGGCATCTCACCATCCTTTCAAGGGCTTATGATGTAATGTTAGTGGTACTGATCTGGAATTCTTTACCAGTGCTCTTTTGCCTCCTCTGTGCAAAGAATGTAAGTCTTCACTTTTTAAGGCCTATATCAGTTCACCTAGATCCAAGCTCTTTCTCCAAAGAATACTGACTGCTCATGCTAAAGGTATCTTACACATTTTTATAAGTTACGAATTCCTGGAATCAGGCCAGGTGCTGCACGTGTGGACATGCTGTCTATCTTTTTTTTTGAACTCTGAAGGATTTATCAAATGTGTGTGTAGGGTGGACAGGGGTAATGAAAAAAGTGACATTATCCGGATTCTCATCTCTCTTGTTTAGTGTATTGCTGAAAACTTATTTATACTGACCTTTTAGGATTTCATTTCTTTTTTTTTTTTTGTCGTCAGTATTTCAAACCTTTTGTGAGTAGTGGGCCAATTCTGTTGGTGGGTTTTGACTTGAATTTTGCATCTGTTATGAAATATTCCATTTTCCTGAAGGGCTTTTTTGTTCCTTTTGTGTTTCATCCATCTGGTGTAAATGCTTTATGTTCTGCTCTTTGTTGGTAATATTTCCATGTAGATTATTTTTTCCCTTATTGTGATATACTATTCATATGCAGCTTAGCAATCCTCATTCTCCTCCTGTTCACTGCTTTGCATTTCTTTAAATTTTTGATCCTGTAGGCTTTCTCAGCAAAA